ATTATGAAAAAATAATTTTATTAGTAGTATATGTTCAACACATTGAATTATTTTTCTATTTGAAATTCCACAAGATGTGGCTTCCCCCTTCCGCTCGTTCTACAGTCGGCTAGATTTCAGTCAAACAAATAAAAAACAAAAAGCATTCATGCCGCAGAAAATAAAATTCACCCCGTCGACTTGATGGACACCCGAACATTGCGTGTTGCGCCCTCCCTCTCTTGGGGTGCAGTACTACGATGCCGCTGGGGTCACTCAAACCCCCAGAACTAAGCCTCTACTTCAGTCAATCCTCTTTGCGTCCACCGTCTCATGGAATTTTTCCATAAATCCACTAGATGTCACAACGAGTTCTCCCCCAGAGTAACGCCGTGTTCACGGGCACTGGCTGCCCGTCAGTAAACACCTCGTGTCGCCAAAACTAAAATCACCCCGAAACACACCAAAAAGCCCCACCAATTACCTCCCAATCACACCAAAAAATCATCCCGCACCCCCAAAATCCAAAATCATCCCCGAAACAAGTAATAAATCGCGAGTGTTGAAAGTCCAGTGATCTCGATCCGCAAAAAAGGAGCGAAAACCCAAACAATAAAAAGAGAGAAAAAAAAAAAGAACGAGTGAGCCTTCGGAGTGTTCAGTTGAGTTCTGTTCTCATCGGCGTGGTAAAGTGGGCGGTTGCAGGGGCCGGGGGGTGGATGGTGTGTTAAGGGGAAGAGAAGGGGGAGAGGGCGATCAGGGAGGCTCTACTTTACCACTAAAGTGTCAACGGCAAGTTGACCCCTCGATAAAACCCCCAAAATACATTAACTCCAGAGTAAGGTGAGATAAATTCCACGAATGTCCCCATCAGGTATAAACGAACACCGGAAAAATAAAATTTTGAATGTGTGTACTTAATTGTTGTGGTACGCTCCGAGTGGCGGCCACAAATGAGAGAATATCGAGTAATCCAAATAAACCGATAAAATGTCAAACACATCGCCGTCACAACATGTGAACGGTGATAACAATAATACTGAGATACTCGATTACATTGATTTCACGGATATAGATGACAATAATCCATCGCACAGTGGTACAACAGTGCAAATAGACAATATCAATTGTGATTACACTGAATCGCTGTCATCGTTGTCGTCGTCATCGTCGTCTATAACTAATATAAATAATTGTAGATTGACAAATAAAGCGGCAACTGCCGCCTACAACATGGTAGCGGCGATGAACGAACACTTGTCGTCCTCGTCGACGACTAATAATACTAGAAAAAATCTTCACACCAGTGATTTTACGAGTGCATGCCAGGATATTGATAACGAGGACGTTAAACCACCACCACCTGGTATACTGACATTTCCCTGTGATTTTGATCACATGTACGCAAGTATGACTGACAGTGGTACGAAGAATAATGCACAGACTGTTGTTACGGGTAATGCTATTGGGGTTAGTCCATTGAGGGGTAATGAACCGAGAAATAATGATCCTGGTGAGGTGAAGCATCTCAAGGAGCTGTTGTTACTTCATTTGGATCTTATTCAGCAACAATCCGAACAGATTGTTACCAAGGATAAATTGCTCAGTGCTTTGAGACAAGAGAATGAGACGGTAGGTACATTTTTTTGTCATTCATCTTCTGTTTTTATGAGTTCTTCAGGAATTTTTGTTTGAAATGCTCTGTGTGTCGTTGACAATGTCATGGTCACTGCACTTGTTTCACTCGTCGACTGATCGGTTCACGGGAAAATTCCGTTGGTAATGAAGATTATCGGAGGAGTGGTGGGGGAATGTTGGCGGGATGTTCACCAATTCGAATTTTTTTATCCGGAAATAATTTCTTTCAGCCAGTATTTAGAAAAATCGTAATACCAAATTATCGGTTGATATCAATCGTGTACGAATGATTGGTGGAATTATTTCGTTCTGATAATGATTTTAAGATCGATCTGTTGGAGAGGGATGAGAAATATTTGCGTATTTGAGATGTGATTTATTTGGATGATGAATTAAATAAATAAATATTGAAATAAACAGTAATCCGGCCAGAGGTGATTTGAAATTCCACAATTCCCTCCACTCGTAAAAATCCTCAACCGGTAATACCGGTTTTCTCCTTTATCATTCAAACACAAATGGCGGGATGTTTATCAATGGTTAACCTCATGGCGACATGTCAACGTTATATTTTTGTGAAGATATTAATAAATTTGGATTTACAACATCCTGATAATCTGAATAATAATTCAAAAATGGTGACGATGTACAAGGGAATCAAATTGTTGCAGCTCAAACTGCGACTGGAGCGAATGGATCGCAGAGTTAACCTCCAGAAGTTGAGGTCAGAGTCGACTGAAAATTCAGTGGCATCAGATAATACTGGACCCTGTTCACCACCAAATTTGCACTCTGTAAGTCTAGTACCTGGGGAGACTGTGAGGAGTCAGTCTGAGGACAGTGGACCCCAGTTCAATGAGACATTCAAGATAAGATTGAATACCAGTGGAGGGATAACGACAGTCAAGCAGGAGCCCATTGACAGGGAGTCAAAAGAGGATAAGGAAATAATTGGTGCTGAGGTGAGGCTCGATTGGGAGGGGAAGAAGAAGAGGAGATCTGATTCCTCTGGCATCAACAGCTCCAGCAAGAGGAAACGAGGTCTCTCGTGTTCATCCACCATCAGCAACTCCTCGTCGAATCTTCAGGAGGGTAAGGGTGGGGAGAGCAGGAAGGGTGATAAAAAGGGCAAGGCCATTGTCAAGAAGGAGAGCTTTCTCACAACTGAGGAGCATTACTACACTGCTGTTGGGGATCCTAATTTTGGTATGTGTGTCAAACCTGCCAAGAGCGAGGAGGAGGAGGAGAGAGACAATCTTGAAGTGCCCAACTGGAGGGTCAAGGTCTACACCAGCTGTTACACTATGGAGGGCACTGAGAATTTGGATGATGAGATTTTTAACAAACGACATCATAAACTCGAGAACGATGAGAGGAGAAGAAAACGATGGGATGTACAGAGGATAAGGGAGCAGAGGCATATTGAGAAGCTCAAACAGAGACAAGAGCGACAGAATCATCAGGCAACTTGTTACAATACTAATCACACCGGCCCTTGTCCATCAACCGCTGAGGAGGAGACCATTACGACTCTGTGGCCTGAAATCGATCAAATTCAAAGTCTTCAAGTAGATCCACAATTGCCTGTCTCAGCGTTTGGGGCATCTATTCCTAGTTTTACTCCCATGTAAGTGAATTCATGGAAACATGAAAAATATTTGATGAACCAAAATACTCAATTTTACTTTTTTTTCAGGGAATTTTCATTACCCTGGTTACACACAGCCAGAATGAAGGGGCGTAGGCAGAAAAGATCATCCTCAGGCAGAAGAAAATCTAGAAGATAAGTACAATAGATTGAGCGGCGGATCTTTTTAATTAATTCCTAAATTCTCTTTTTTTTTCAATTAAAAATGGAAACGGTTGTTGGAGTTCAGTCGTTTTATTCCCCTCCAACTGTGCAAGAAGAGCACCAAAGATATTTTTTTATACTTCAACCTTACTTTCCCCCCCGTTTTAGATATGAGGATAGAAAAGAGACGTTGAAAATGTTTTGTTATGATTTTTACGCCTTTTTCAACGGTCATAATTACAAGATATTAATTTTTTAATAAATGTGCGCTCGACGCTGTTTTACATGAACTTCCTGCGATTAATTAAATGCGTAAAGTGTTTGAGTCAAACACAATGATTAATCTCTTCCTTGATCCATACACGATTAGACATTTTTCATATCCATTTTTATTTAATGAAAAAAATTCCGAGGAAATAAACAGTTGTTTTTTTTTTACGATTGTAAAAATATTGTAGATCATTTAAGGGTACAATGTAAGGACGAATAGGTATGGTGTAGAGAATTATTGTTTAGTGGTAGAGTGTGTTAAGCCCCTCAGAGTGAATCGTAGTGTGAATTGTAATTTCAATCATTGTTAGTTATCAGTCCGATTCATTGATCAATTTTCGATAAATGTTTTTTATCGAATTTACATCACTCCTATTTTTTACAAGACATGAGAAATCGCGGGGATCGGTGAATGATTGAAGGAGACCAGAATTTAATTATTCAGAAAAAATTCACTATTTCTATTGGAACATCCCCTAAACCAGAACGAATAGAGGAAAAACTTTCATAAACATTTTTTTGGAAATTTAACAATTTATTATCAAGAGAATAAAACGATTTTTGATTGTTGATTCATCTTTGTAATTAGGAATTTTAGGAGAAATGTCAGCAACTGTTTTGTAGAAATATTTGTGATTGTAATTGAAATTATCTGGTCTTCATTCTCTCATTAATCGCTTAATGAGTGAACTTGAATGATAGAAACCCATAAAAATAATAATTAAGAGTGATTGGGGCGTTGCTCTGGTCATTAACAACTCTAGATTGCTAAGGACTCTGTGATGTATTTTAAAACGAGAACTCAATTTTTCGGCGAAAGGAAAAGAGGAAGAAATACTAAACAGACCGTTCGATTCGTCGCAGTTTAATTCGCGCCAGTCATTAGTGATGCATTCATCGGCGTTGTCCATGCATTAATCAGTCAAATAATCCCCCGTAATTGTATTTCACCATTGAAATTCCGTTTCAATAAATAGAAAATGACATTGTTAAAATTATCGATTGACCGTCCAATTTTGTGAAAATTCCATGGACTTGATGAATCGAGGTTTTACGAGCCTAAAGAGAGTACAATATGACGATTTGTAAATACGAAGATTGAAGGAATATGTAAGAATAAAAGAAAATGATTGAGTTAAACGTTCGATGATCTTTCTGTTGAAAAATCCTGCCCCAAATATCTTACCACTGAATTTATTTAACGATAAAAAAACGAGTGGAAAAAAATTGAAACAAAATATTGAAACAGTGCAAATTATATTTCAAACTGCGATACATCTTCACTTACACTTTAAGGCTCTTAAAAATGAATGAATTACCACTAAAAAATAATAAAGCCTGACATATTCAAAATTTTAAATACATCCTAGCAGTAAATTCCCCGTAAAGATTCAATTAATTGAACGAAGAAAGATATAAATTAATTTGACGAATTAATAACCTTGATTAGTCAGTAATAAATAATTATATTTTGATTAAACATTTGGTCTGGGGGACAGAGGGAATTTACTGGAGCTTAGAAGCATTTTCTATGGACAATTGATGGCCCGGACTCGTCGTACTCCTGCTTTGATATCCACATCTGCTGGAATGTACTGAGACTCGCCAGGATCGAGCCACCAATCCATACTGAGTATTTCCTCTCTGGTGGTGCAATTATCTTAATTTTCATGGTTGAAGGAGCAAGTGCAGTGATCTCCTTCTGCATTCTGTCGGCAATACCCGGATACATGGTGGTACCACCTGAGAGAACAGAATTTGCGTACAGATCTTTACGAATATCGACGTCACACTTCATTATTGAGTTGTAAGTCGTCTCGTGAATTCCACAGGACTCCATCCCCAGGAAGCTGGGCTGGAACATCGCCTCGGGACACCGGAAGCGTTCATTGCCAATGGTAATGACCTAGAAAAAAAAATTATGACAATTGGAAAAAAAAACTTTACGAAAGTCAAATCCAATTAATTTCCCCTTCGCTCTATATCAGATTCCATAAAAAAAAAACACAATTTAAACAATTACTTGTCCGTCAGGAAGTTCATAGCTCTTCTCAAGAGCACTAGATTCCGCAGCAGTTGCCATTTCCTGTTGAAAATCAAGAGCAACGTAGCACAATTTCTCCTTGATATCCCTAACGATCTCACGCTCAGCAGTTGTTGTGAATGAATATCCACGCTCAGTAAGTATCTTCATCAAGTAATCCGTCAAATCTCTACCAGCAAGATCCAAACGAAGAATTGCGTGCGGCAGTGCATACCCTGCACACCAAAATAAGTCAATTAATTTTAAGATCATGGTATTCACATGCCAAATCGGGGATTTGAATGAGGGAGCGATGAGATTCCATTTATAGGTGTAAAAAATACCTTCGTAAATGGGTACAGTGTGGGAAACACCATCACCACTGTCCAAGACAATGCCAGTTGTTCTTCCGGATGCGTAGAGAGATAGAACAGCTTGAATGGCGACGTACATCGCTGGTGAATTGAAAGTCTCGAACATAATTTGGGTCATTTTTTCACGATTGGCTTTTGGATTGAGGGGGGCCTCAGTCAGAAGAACTGGATGCTCCTCCGGGGCAATACGCAGCTCGTTGTAAAATGTGTGGTGCCAAATTTTTTCCATGTCATCCCAATTTGTCACTATACCGTGTTCAATTGGGTATTTGACAGTTAGGACACCTCTTTTGCTCTGGGCCTCGTCCCCCACGTATGAATCCTTCTGGCCCATGCCCACCATTATTCCCTTTTAAAAGGACGGAGTGATCAATTTATTTTCATTTTAATCACTTTACCGCAGAATTAAGCAATATTTTTGTATTATACATATATATATATTTCTCGTTAATTATTTCATAACTTTATACAAATAAATGAATTACAATAACAATTACAATCCCATGGAAATGACGCGACGAAAGATAAAAATAAAATATCACTACAGATAATTAAAAAAACAAATAATATATTTTTTGCGCAACGAATGATTGAATTTACTTGATATCTGGGACGTCCGACGATGGAGGGAAATACAGCTCTAGGTGCATCATCTCCAGCGAATCCAGCTTTGCACATACCGGACCCATTGTCCACCACGAGTGCAGCCACATCGTCGTCGCACATGTTGTTCCTCACAATTTGAATAAATTTAAAAAAATCCTCACAGAATAAAATTCCCAATTGACTAGAGCACACAAAATAAATCGCAATACTTGGATGTCTTCACGAAGTGGCCACTGGGACACTTGTTCCACTCTTTATATCAACTCCCCTCTACACCTTGCGCGGTTTTATCCTCAGCATATATGGTAAAACTTACGTACAAACACTCTTGCTCTAAATAATCTCACCAGCCTTTTACACGTCTCCACAAATTTTTTTACCGCCTATAATTGTCTTCTAGGTGCACTCAATTGTCTCAGCAAAACAATTGAAATTTTACCTCTTCAATTATTTTTCTTTTTGTCGGAATAGTTTTTTTTTGTCCGTTTAGTTTCACTCCCCCAATATGTTAATAATGAAAATTTCCCTGGGGGATATTACTGGGTTTAATTCAAACTCTCTCGGATTAATGAATGGAGGGAAGACGCACCGCTATGGGAGTAATTAATTTACAGCCGATTAAATTGGGGATTAATGATGGCTTGATGTTAATTGGAGATCTCAATGACCAATTAGTCGTCTTTCGTGATTTTTCAGGATCCCAGAATGAATGGAGCCGGCAAGCATTAACCAGAGCATGCAAACGGCGGTATTTCTTCGTGAGAAACAGGGAAAATCCATTTTATTTAGTTCAAATGAAATTTTAAGATGTTGTAATATAAATTGTTGTAATTTGTTGAGAGATTTTCGGTGCTCCCTAAATTCACGACAGATAAACTCTGAGAAAACATTATTTATTTTTACCACAGGAATTTATAAAATTTTTTCAATAAATATCGTGAGAATGAAAAAATTATCGATATTAAAAAATGAGTCTTGGATGTATTTCTTTTTCACCACCGAATCTCCCCTGAATTATTAATCACCTCGAGGATTAATTAAAAATCAAGCGAAACGTGAAACTTGATGTTAAAAAATGTAATCATTCAACAGAACTGGACGAGCTGAAACATTTTATTCCGAAGTGAAAAAAAATTCCATGAATAATTTATAAAGACATCGCAACAAGTATCTCGTGAAATTCCATCTGGTACAATATCTTCGGGGCCATAAAAACCCAACAATTGAGTATATCGTCAATAACATTTGGAAATTTAGATCAATACTTCATGAATTCGTCCTTGACCTCGATTTGTCACAGCTCTCATTTTTTACGTATCTATCGTAAATTATGGCTTGATAAATGGACTAAACCAAATCGATGCATTCGATGATTCCACACCTTCGACCCTAAAAGGCGTCAAATCCCGAGGTGAACCTCTCAAGTCGATCTTTTCCTTCCACAACAAATTACATATCTCTCATCCTCAGGAAAAGGAACTAAATTAACCCGTAATAAAACCAAAAAAACAATCCAAAAAACACGTTCAATCATTTCTCGTTTGCACCATTTGCTCCTCAATTAAGTCGAATCGACTCAATTACAGCTACAAAAACGATCGATTAATTAGCAAGAGCGTCAGAAACAAGTTGGAAAACATTGACAAACATTTTAACGTGAATTACCGTAGGATCTATTAATTTTTATTAACAATATCAATCGTTCCGTTAAACTTTACCGATTATTCGCATAAAAATCGATTGAAACTCGTAATTTTCCCAAATGATTCAACCAACTGAGACTTTTCTCTCATTGAAGAATTTGTACGTCAGTAATTCAACAAGAGACGAGTTAAGCTGAGCAAAAAATCTTGAGCTGTGATCGTTGTTCCATTAAGTGACTCTCAAGACGTGTGTACAACTCTAAAACAACCTGGGGAAGGGGACGGTCTCGTTATAAACGCGAGATTACATCCTTTAATTGACGGTTGAATTTAATCTTATTAATTAGGGTGTAAAATAGTGCTACTCCAGTTTTACCCGGTATAACTATAAAATTATTCTTAATGACTTTTTTTCAGTTGCAACTCTCCTTCAGCCACATCAATATAAAATCAAGAACTGAATCCACTAAGAGAATTCAAGATGAAGATTGAAATCTGTTTAAGAATAAGAGGAGTCCGGTGTATATTATGATTAATTCATACCCAGAAATGGTAATTGAGAAAGTTTAAATGGAGATCACAAATTGAATATTTATTTATCAATGAAAATTAAAGATTAAATTCGGGTTATTTGTCCCAGAGGCCGATTTCCTTCATGCGTGTTCGGAAGTATTTCTCAAGGGCATTGGCACATCGGTAGTACTCGGTGTCTGGGCTGTTGTAGACACGACAATTTGTGAAGATTCTCGTCATGTCGGCAATAAACAGCCGTCGAGCTACGTAATACCTCGCCTTCAGTCGATCAGTCATGGTCTTGAGGTCTTGAAACAGCAATAAATTAATTCATGAATAAATAAAAACTCAAGGGTAATCTCGCCTCATCTCACCACCTCGCCAAATAATCAATCCTGCACTCACCCATAGGATATTTGATATGATCATAATAATCAGGCACAACATTTTTATCCACGGGCTTCAAGAACGGCCACGCAGTGCTGTGATTCTTGACGCTGTTGAGTACATTTTTCAGGGCATTATACAACGAATCCGTGATATCGAGGCAAGCCTCCATGGGTTCAGGCCCTGGAGTCCCCTTGGCAACGCCCCTGGTCCTGGTCTGAGCATAACTCTTCCAGCCAGTCTCCCTGATCCCAGGTATGGCCTCCACAGGAATTCCCCTCACTCCCTCCTTGAAGCACGTCAGCCCGGGATGAACCTTCTGTATCTCCTGCTGTCTTTGCTGAATCAACTTCTTGACGATTTCCTTCTGCTTTCTGATGACAGCTGTGAACTCTGTGTACACAATCTTAGAGTTGAGCTCACAGTGCATGAGAGTTGCCCCTTCATAATCTTTTATGTATCCTTGATACATCACCCTCGCGAGCTTGATGTCTTTGCTGAATCCCTGTTTCTTGAAATAACCGATAGCAAATTCATCTGCAAACGTTAGAAAATGAAGAATATTGTTCTTTATGTGATAATCCTTCAGCATATTCATCAGGTGTGTGCCGTAGCCCTTGACTTGTTCCTGACTGGTTACAGCGCAGAAGACGATTTCAGTAAAGCCCTGAGTGGCGAACATCCTGAAGCAGATGCCCCCGATTGGACGACCGTCTTTTATGAGAGCGAGGGTCTTGTGCTTTGGATCAAAAACTAACTGAGAGATGTATTCCTTGGGCATCCGGGGTAATTGATGACTGAAGACATTGTGCAGACCAATCAACCAGAGCATCGTCTGCTTGGAGACTGGCTGAGTCAGGCTGTTACCTATCACATGGAACTCTATGATCTTTCGACTCTCCTCTAGCTTTGCTGTCTCGTCTCGAGGCACATTGGGAGGAAAGACAGCATCAGGGCCACACATGTAATTGGGATCATTGATAGTCGCTATTATTTCGGAAACTGTGTCCTCAGCGAGGTCCTCAAAAGGATCCTCCACACGACGACGTTTAGCCTCGGGGCGGCCCTCAGGATGGGCTCGTTTTTCTGTGAGTTTTTTTATTCCTGGCGAGATGTTGATTGTCGTGTACGTTGAGGAATCATTCGGAGGGACTGTCACTTTCTCGAATTCTCCAGTGCGACGTGTCAGAAGGGACTTGGAGTCTGTGGACACGTGGAGATGGGGTGGAGGGACTTGTTTGAATTCAGGATCCCAAATTGGTGAGTCCGAGTATATTTCAACTTCCAGCATCGAGAGGAATTTTGGAAAATGTGTTAATACCAGGACTCTCTTGTCCGGTGACATTCTGTCTCGTTCGCTGTGACACTTGTCCATCAGTTGTCTGCAGACAGACTTAAAGACAGCCCTCAGCATTGTCCTCCCAAATACCAGAGTTGTGTCGTAATGTGGGAGAGAATCGCAGAAGGCAGGGACATGACAAAATACGAGCCAACGAGTGTAATTGATTTTGTAAGCTGGTGCCTCCTCGTCGTTGCCAGTGGTTCTCCTGGCACTGGGTGTCTCGAAATTCCAATGATTGAGGCAGTGTAGAAAAATCTTGGCGAGGTCGTACATTGCTTGCCACTCCCTCTGGGTAAGATGGCCAAATTTATAGAGAACGAAATTCGTAATGGCCTTGGCAATACTGGGTCTCTCGAATGGTGGCTGTCCAAGTGGCCCCTCGATTACTGGTTTTGTCATCGACAATATGCACTTTCTCAAGAGCTTGAATAAATAATAGTACACCTTCTTGGTGTCTGGATCTTTCTCCCGGTGCATTCCCATGAATATATTGTCGACGTCAACCACCATCCCCAGGAGTTTATTGATCTCCTCGTCATTCTGCTTGGGTAAATGACTGATATGACTCTCTAATGTGTGTGTGCAGCTTCTGCAGGGATCTGAGAAGTTGGAGATCGGTTGGAGATCACTCTTGGGACTCTTCACCACCTGCTGACTGTTCTTCCAACCGTTGCATTTGCATTCTTCAACCTGGCATGCACTGTAGTTCGCTAATTTCAGGAGTTTCTTCACTTGAGGCCAATTGAAGACGTGCTGTTTGCGTTGTTGAATCCTCTGGAGATTGTTCTGACAACTAGCCTGGTCTGATGGCCTTGGAGAGGTCACGTCACCATTTGAGGGGGGTTGGGCTGATGTCGAAGAAACTGACTGCCCTGCCTCCTCTGTTGGAATTGTTGCTGTTCGATTTATATCTTCAGAAGACATCCTGGTAACTCCTCTCAACGATTTCTTTCACGATTTTTTTATTTTGTGATGACTGATTTCCAGGATATTCTTGTTCAGGGATTTATGATTGTATTTATTTGCATTTTTCAGCTGTTTTTTTTTTTGAGATTTTTTAGGGAGCGGGAGGGGGAAATTTTTGGGAAATGGGGAGTGGCGTTGGGGAAGTGTTGAGGGGAGTCACTTCGTTTAAGGTTTTTACAAGTTTTTTTCTTTACGTTGTGGAAGAGGTGGAAGATAACCTTTCTTCGGAGTGAAGGAGTCTTTTGGAGGATTCACTCACGAATGTCGAGGCTTTTTATTGATTTTTTGGAACGGTTTCGGTGGAAAACAGTTGGGGAAAGTGTGGGGAGGTTCTTGCGTGAGTGTCACAGTGATTTTTGGAGGGGTTTTTCGTGGATTTCTTGGTGTGTGTGTTTATGCAGTTGAGTGAGGACTGGAGACTGACAGTGACGCCATTTTCAGATGTCATATGGTGATTCGAGGAATTGCCGCAGTTCTCGATAAATCTTCGGACTGAGTTGGTGAGTACTTTGGATTTTTTCATGAAGTTTCATGAATTTTTTTTAGGAATTCATGAGGTTCAGATGTTTCATTTATTTGTTCTTACTTTTTGCGTTGATATTATTTTGTTAGGCGTTCTTGGAGAAATGATTTTGAAAAATTTGTGAGAGCCTGGGAGGTAGTTGCAATTTTATTGAGGGTGGTCAGGTTATGTCCTCCTTTCTCTCCTTCGAAATGCAATAAAATGAAATAAAATACCCTGGCACGATCTAAATTATTAGAATACCGTTTTTAGCATCTGTCATTGTATTATTGACGGAAATTCCTCGTGATATTTTTCTCTGGGAATTTCTATCAGTGAAATGGTTTTCGAGACATTTTCAGGAATTCAAGTAATTGAGAGGGAAATCCAGGATAATCAAGTCCCTTGACCGTTTTTCCTTCTCTGAGATTATTTCCAGAAGTTGATTGACAGAATTCTCAATTGACACTCATTTAGCATTAGGTTATCAAATTTTATGTTAGAATTGCGTTTTGTCACGCAATGTGTTCAGATCATTTAGATTATGTACAGAAAAATTGCAACCCTCAATTTTACAGAATATTCAGATAATTGAAACATGAAAATTCTTTTTTCGCTTGTCCCATCTTTCCTACCTAATCGTCTATTATCACCGCATAATTGCAACGACGAAATAATTAAATATCGTCATCATTCTGCTCGCAGAAAAAAATATTAAAACCCGTACTTTAACACCCGAATCTTTTTATTATTTATAAACCACTCTTGAAACTCTTAATTCGTGTTCTAAATAACGAACTTCTCAATTTAATGAGAAGAAAGAAGTGTTTTGTATGACTTCGACATTTGTACAATTCCTGGAATGAATGAAGGAATTTTGGTTTGCAGTAAATCAAAACCCGTGAAAACCGTAAAGCCATCATCACCCTTGGACCGCCCAGAGCACCACCACCGGGCCAGGATGGCCACCTGGGACGGCTCCTACCAGGGTGGGTCCCACGAGGACCCAAATAACTACTTCGTGCATCCGCAGACAACCCAAACCCATTACTACAACCACAATCCAACCCCATTTCCCCAAACAAACGGCTATCCCCCCTTTTTCGAAAACACCCGTCAACCCCCAGAACGTTCTCAAAATCCTTCGAATTCCCTAGTATCTCAATCAACCCTCCACGCGGGTGCTGATGAGTTCGTACCCTCTGGTCCAGCCCCTGAGCCCTCAAAGATTTTTTTTCCCGACAACAGAAATCGAAATCGATCGAAACGAAATAATCAGTACCCACGACAGCAAGACGATTACCCCAGGAGCTACAACCGAGTGGAAAAAAACCGACGGCAGAACTCCACATTCTATTCGAATACCGATTACCAGGATCAGAACTACCAGAACTACCCCTCAAATCCTGAGGACGAGTTGACAAACAACTCTCAGGGGAAAGAGCCCCCGAGAGGTGCTTACAACAGCAGAAGACCTAGGAGTCACGGGAGATTCACAAGCGATCGGTATCAGCAATTCAATCAGCAATTTAATCAACAGTTCCCGCAACCCGATCAGCCCACCCGAGGGCCCGCGGAGAATGACAATCAAAAGACCTCTAAGGCTAGACAGAAGTACAAGGAATACAGCGAGGACCCCAGGGATGAGAGCTATCGTCGACCCCAGGGAAACGATACCGATGATACGTCTGCACCCAGAGCAGCCAGGCGCCGACACAAAAATGATTATTACGAGGACAAGCCATCATCCAGGAAGGATAAACGAAAGAACTATCAGGAGTTCAATGGATACAGGAGCTATCCCGAGAAGAAAGAGGAGAGGAAGAATCCAGAGGGGGAGGACAAGAACTGGAGGAAGAGTCACGTATCGAGTGTCAAGAGGAACGCCAAGAGGAGTGAATTGGATGATGCCAAGAGCCAGAAGGAGAGGCTGACAGATCAACTCAACAGGGGACAACTGGAGTGTCTCGTCTGTTGTGATTATATCAGGCAGAATGACGGTATCTGGGCATGCAGTAATTGCTATCATGTTTTGCATCTCAAGTGCATCAAGAAGTGGGCGGAATCCTCTCAGAGTGAGAGCGGCTGGCGATGTCCCGCTTGTCAGAATATGAATTTAATTTCACCTGTGGATTATTACTGCTTCTGTGGAAAAACGAGGGATCCTGAGTGGAACAGGAGAGATGTGGCTCACTCCTGTGGAGAGGTCTGTGGAAGAGTCAGAGCGAAGAATGGATGTGTGCACAAGTGCACGTTGCTGTGTCATCCTGGGAGCTGTCCCTCGTGCACTGCCACGGTGACGAGGTGCTGCGGATGTGGGAGAACCTCCCAGAGTCTCAAATGCAGCTCTGATGTTCTGGTGACTTGTGAGGAGATCTGTGGAAAATTTCTCAATTGCGGTGTGCATCAGTGCGAAAGGAAGTGTCATCATGAGCCTTGTGGAGATTGCCAGAGGAAGGTTCACCAGGTATGCTACTGTGGTAAAGTGAAGAGAGAGGTCGAGTGTGTCAAGGGTACACCAGGTGTTTTTTGCTGTGAGGAGAGCTGTGGAAAGATGCTGGAGTGTGGTAATCATCAGTGCAAGGAGAAGTGTCATCCTGATGCCTGCGGTCCCTGTCCCTTGAAGCCTGATCTTGTCACTCACTGCTGCTGCGGTCAAACACCCTTGACAGCACCACGCACCTCCTGCCTCTCACCAGTGCCAACATGTTCAAAAATCTGCTCCAAACCCCTTCGCTGTGGACAGCCAAGTAATCCCCATATATGCACCTCTCCGTGTCATCCTGACACCTGCCCCCCCTGTTCTCTCTCGACGTGGGTGAAATGTCGGTGTGGCAATATGGACCGAGAGATTCCCTGCAGCGATTTAAAAACCAAAGCGGATGACGCTCGTTGCGAGAAAAAATGCACGAAGAAACGATCGTGTGGTAAACACAAGTGCAATCAGCACTGCTGCATCGATATCGAGCACGTCTGTCCACTGCCGTGTTCCAAGACCCTGAGCTGTGGTCGTCACAAGTGTGAGCTCACCTGTCACAAGGGTAGATGTCATCCCTGTTACAGAAGTAGCTTTGAGGAACTCTTCTGCGAGTGTGGAACAGCAGTGGTTTATCCTCCAGTGCCATGCGGTACCAGAAGACCCACCTGCACACGTCCCTGTTCTAGACAGCATCCTTGTGGTCACGAGGTGCTTCACAACTGCCACAGCGAGTCCATCTGTCCACCCTGTACTGTATTAACTCAAAAATGGTGCTATGGTAAACATGAGCTGAGGAAAGCTGTTCCCTGTCATTTGAATGAGATGTCATGTGGACTGCCATGTGGCAAGCCCATATCCTGTGGAAGGCACAAGTGCATCACTCTGTGTCATCCTGGGTCATGTGAAAAAGGGGGACAAGTATGTGTTCAGCCCTGCACAACGCCCAGAGAAATGTGTGGTCATCCATGTGCTGCCAATTGTCACGAGGGCAAGTGTCCTGATACTCCTTGCAAGGAAAATGTCAAGGTAACCTGCACCTGTGGACACAGAACAACTACTAGGGTTTGCGCTGAGAACTCCAAGGAGTATCAAAGAATTGCTAGTGGTATTTTAGCGAGCAAAATGGCTGACATGCAGCTGGGACACTCGGTGGATCTTGAAGAGGTCTTTGGACAGGGGGCTAAGAAGCAGAATCAATTGAAAACACTGCCTTGTAATGACGAGTGTGCGTTGATAGAGAGGAATAGAAAATTGGCGTTGGGACTGCAGATTGTCAATCCTGATCTCAGTGGAAAACTCATGCCCAGGTACAGCGAGCACATGAAGGCATGGGCCAAGAAGGATCCACATTTTTGTCAGATAATTCATGAGAAACTCAGTGAGCTCGTACAGCTTGCCAAGACCAGCAAGCACAAGAGCAGGAGCTACTCGTTTGACAGCATGAATAGGGATAAGAGGCAGTTTGTTCATGAGAGTTGTGAACATTTTGGGTGCAAGAGTCAGGCTTATGATCAAGAGCCTAAGAGAAATGTTGTGGCTACTGCTGTTAAGGATAAGGTGATTTTTTTCATTGGATATTTTCATTGCAGCTATGAATTTTTATTTTTAATCATTTGCTTTTTGGATTTACAGTGCTGGTTACCAAGTTATAGTCTATTGGAGATGGTTCAGAGGGAGAATGGTCAGCGAAAAGTGCCAAGACCAATGCTCAATACTGCAAGGACCAACACTTTAACTTCTCGGTAATCACAATCCAACAGTTTAAATTTTGAAAATTGTAGCAATTCCTAGTCGATTGAGTGATTTTTCAATGATGAAATATTTTCCATTTTATTTATATATTTTAGAACTTCAGAAGTTCTGCCATCAACTGCCAAAATGAGTCAGAAGCTTCAGCCAACAGTTTCCTCATCGAAATCTCCAGAGCCAGAGATTGATTACTTCGACTTTCCAAACTCAAGCCTAACGTGAAATCTATTTTCTCAATTGGTACAACCCTGGCCATCAGCGACAGATGGCCCTTCATATAATTTATAATATTTTTGATTTATTATCAAGATTAATGGGACTTAGGGGATTGTTTTCTTATGTATGATTCTGAAGGGATGATTAATCGTCTCGGGGATTTATTTCAATGGAACCTCAGTGAATAAAAACACAGGATTATGAGAATGAAACCGAGATAATCTCGTTTGGTGCCTTTTTATGGGGATTGTCTACGATAAAAGTGGAATATTTATGTATCCAAACGAGTTGAAATCAGTGAGTGAAATAGTTGGAAATGAATTTATTTGAAAACCATCCAGATTGGATACCCTAATACTAGCACTTTGAAAAATTCCAATTATCAATTCCCCAATTATCTATTTCTCTACATTTTTTTATTCGTGAGAATTTTCAAATTTCTTGAACGAATTGAATGGTAATCTCTTTTCCCATCTGAACTCGTCGGAGCCAGAGTTATTTTAAAAAATCTGGATGGCATTCATATTTATCCCACTATCTTGCACCACTCGGCTGCAAAATAATCTTCGTGCACAGGTGGCACCAAAATTATGTCATCCAACAATTGTCAATCATCAGAGAGAGCCCAGCAACGTTCAATCGAATTATTTAATTACGATTAGTTAGGATGAAAATCGTGAAATATAAATAAAGAAGCAATTGAAAAAACAAATCATCAAATTATTATCTTGCGAATGAATCATCTGTCCCTTAATTTTCACAGCTTTATTGAGTTCCCAAAGCTCGGGAAAACTAGAAACATGAGTATATTGATCCATAATTTGATATCAGACTATTTACATAACATTTAATTAATGATAAATGAAAAATTACTTCTCACCGGTATTTTTCGGTTCTATTAATTTTTCCTTTATGGCTGTCTCAATTTCTTCTAATAGTCTCGCCTACAGACGATTCTACAAATAAATAATATAAAAAATTGATACGTCCAATGACAGTTAATTCCGAAGTTATTACTATTATTTCCATTATTTCGAAATAATTCAGTACTCGTCCTCGTTAATTACGCAATTATATCTCGATAATTTCATATTCGGCGAATTGAGCACTGAATTCTGGTATTTTCTTCCTAGATTTCCTCGATTATTGTGCAATCCTTCTCTAGGATTCTTTAACATTATTGTGCAATCTTTTTTTGTATATAAATAACGGTATCTCAGTGTCAGAAGCTCCCTGGAACTAGTATACTCTCACTTTTACGATAATTAATTGATTAATTTCTTTAGATTTTCATTTTTGTCTTTAATTCTCGTAAACATTTAAAATAGGTAACACGAATATTTTTTTTTTTTAGTGATTTTCTATGTTTTTGGCACATCAAACATTTATCATATGATTTTGAAATCTATATGAGTAATTTATCCTAGTTTTGGTTTGAGTTTGCATTTTTCATGGCATACCAACGCATTCAGGATTTATCGCATTTTGTACTCGTGATTCAACTTCAGAACAATTCAGTGGAAAAGTGATAAAATGGGTTTTTGTCACTTCAACATTGTATTTCCATCGTCGAAGTCACGCATTCATAAATTTCATGAAAAGACCCGTAGGATTCACCTAATCTAGACATCGAGATGCTTATCACATGTAGAATCACAACATTGCGACACATTCTCATTTGATTAAATTCTATACCTCAATTGAAAACGATTTAACTATTAATCTCGAGTATTAAAATGTTTTTTTATTCTTTTTTTCCTCATTTTTTATATATTACTTTGAACATTGAAGAGTAGGGCACTTGGAAAGGATAGATTTGCCGTGCAAATCGTTTCTTATCTACCTGGGGGCACGATTAAGACACGTATCCTTACATGAATTCAAAATCTCTAATACAAAATATTAGAGTCCAGTAATATGCTGTATTTACAGTCTAGTAATGACCCTTTCCTTATGAATGAAAGAAAATTAACTCGATTTGTTGATGGGGAGTAGAAAAATAAACCAAAATCGAAAAATATGGATTTCGATTAAAATAGATATTTTTTCAGTTCGACGCGCATGTGTGATGTACTTATCCAGTGAATCGGTGGAGCGGCAAAATTTTTACACATCTTCAATATCTCCCGAAATAACCATAAGAATTTAATGCAATGCATTTCATTTTTCAGCGCGATTAAGGCACTTCAAAACGATCCAAAATATTTCAAATTCTATTCAGTACATTCTGAGGTATTGATGATTGAAAAAAATTCGATTGCTTCGCGTTTCCGAAACTCAAAAATTACGTGTATATTTTTTTTTTAATTTCTCAGGAAAGAGTAGATTTACTGACCTACCAGAATTTGTTACACAACAATGGTAATTGTTTAAACTCTCATCCCTGAAATTTCAACAAAATAAAATACACGTGATTCGGAATCATTGAAGTCACTGCATGAGTTATCTCCATTAATGATATAATTGCAGTTGAGTTTGTCTCAACTTTTTCCTACACCTGAACACAATTCATGTCTTTAGAATTTCGAAAATATCGATTCCACAGAATTTCAGATGAATTCTCTCTCTCAACGTTCACACATCGTTATTAGAAACGTTAATTCTCACAGCGATTGATGTTCCCAAGTTTAAAGATTGTTATTGCGATCGTCGATAGATATTTACCATAAAAATCACGTGCCTCTTCTATTCTGTAGTGAAGCGCCGAGTATCGAAGTATTTTATCCAGATTAATTAACAATCTATCATACCAGATGAGATTATTAACATTTCAATAAAATTTATCTTCAATAAGATTTATCTTTCAATATGCACAGAAGGGAAATGCCAGGTAAATTATTTAAATAATTTAAATAATTTCCTCGAAGATGACTAACACGATACTCCAACAATTAAAAATCCATACTAGATCCACAATGATTTTTCAATGAATTATTACAACGTGAACAATTTTTCAAGAATAGAGACATAAATCGTACAAAATTTTCATCTTCTCTTCGGCCCTAGCAAATAGCAGTGTAATTAGTTTAGTCACTTCCCTACAGAATTCGAGGCATAACTCAACGTGGAAATCAATGAGAACCTGGTATAATTGATTGAATTTGTCGTGAGGTGGGTTCAGTCGATTTCCCTGGGAGAAATATTGCCTCGGTGATTTAGATGAAGGGCTGGGGCTTCAAACCAGCGCTGTAGCTGCGGTAATTATTGAAGTACTGGTGTCTAGGGCTCACTGATGGCTGTTTCGTTAAACTCGCCATTGCACAGCCCATCATCAGTTCCAGTGCACGACAAATTGTTTGGTAAACGAGCCAGGGCCACGGTTTGAGGTATTCCACTGGACCAGACGATTTTCCGTACCTCGAAATTTCACCGAGAAGACCTGCAACATTAATTATTTATCTATTGATTATTTATATGAAATCGAAATGAAATATAATGAATGAAATGCTATGAGAAAACAGCAAAAATAAAAAAAAAAAACGGTTTCGCCAAATAATTATCGTATAAAATAATTTAACGTATGAGTGTTTAAATAATTAAATAATAATTACCATAAGGACCGAAGATCCTTCCGATATCAGCGCAGCACAGAATAATCCCCAGTACAGCCGTAGCATAAGTGACATTAAGAACTCTTTTAATCTGGGACTTCCTGGCAGCTGCGGTGCTGGCTTCCGGTATATGAAGTGGTACATCAGATTTAGCACGATTGACATAAGCAATGTGATTGAGGATGGCATGTAGTGTAAAATCACTAGCTACTCTCTCCCCCTCAGGGAGAAGAGTGCTGGCAGCGGTGATATCTTCCTCACCCTTGAGCACCTCGACATTCTTCCAGGATAAGCTCTTCTTCCTGTGCTTTCCCTCCTCAGGCTTGTCCTCAGCCCCATCAATCGCCATTAGTGCAGCTTTCTCGTTGCAATCCGGATGATCAGAGTCAGACTCTGATTTCTCGGTGATCTCCATTTTTGGGATTGTCGTTTGGAAGTGGGTGGGACTCTTGTCGAGGGTTCTGATGCTCACGTCACTGCACCGACGATTTATCACTAGTGGAGTTATGCCAGAGAACTCGGAATTACGGCGGTACGACACGTCGGAATTCCTCCGGGATTCCGGTGTCTTCACAGCAGCTAGACCACTGATATCAGAATTTCTTCGGGATCCTGGAGGATTAAATAATAAATATTGTTATCATGTCCCGCAGTTATTGCTATTATTTCCGTTTTTCTACTCACCAACAGGACTGACATCCAGAACCTTCGGCAGTCTAGGTCCCTCGGTGGAGATCATCCTCTTGGGAGTTCTATTCCCAAAATCAGAGTTCCTCCTCAGTTTGGTAGCGAACTGAGAGCTTCTGTTCTTCTCGTGGGTGACGTCCGAGCACCTCCGGAGATCCTTGTTACTTCCAGTCGGCGTTGGCATGTCCGAGTGACGTCTGTGGATTCCCTCTGGTGTTATTGGTCTGCTGCTTCCCTCCCCCTGGGATACGTTATCATTAGCAAATCTCACGCTGCAATCGGAACCTCTTCGGGAACCCTTCGAGGCATCACTGCCCCTGCGACTGCTGGCGATTGAACTTCGTCTGCTTGGACTCGATACCATTATTATCGGTAGATTGACAGCTGCTGGAGTTGGTGTCGGCGGTCTGACGTACACCTCCGGCACCGTCGACGTCGCTGGTACCTCGGATTTCCGGGGCACCTCCTCCGGAGATTCTCGCCACTCCTCCAGAACTGATGGCATGCCTATCATTTTTTTAGCATTTATTATATTTTATACTGGGGAAATTTTACTGGATTATTATGGAAAATAGAGAATATGTCGGGAAAAGGTCAGTAAAATTATTTTTTTCATGGAATTTTATTTGTTGGAATATTTTTTATTGAATAAACAGGAAGTGCGATGGAGATAAAATGGAAATAAAATGGAATTGTGTAGCGAATTCACTGGGGATTTCTGTGAAATATTTTCATACGTGGACGCATTCTTGGGACAATCTTTCTCCAGGTTGCCTGGGATTGTCGTAAATCCGGAGATTCTTGAGACAAGAAGGAATGTGATTCACTTCTTCTTTCCTTTTATCGAACAGACCCCCGGAAATAAGGTCTTATGTAGAGATAAAAGGAGATCTCCAGGGAAAAATAAATAATAAAAATTTTCTCGAGGACTGAAAGGAATCGGAAAAACCTTCGAGAGACAATTATAATTTTCTGTTCAATAGATAATAATACCGCTTCGCAATTTTCACTGATTCATTTCGACGTGCACCGAATTCAAATTATTGACACTATTCCCGAAATGTTTCTCTTCACCGAAATAATTTTCCAGTTTATTCCAATTTTCTGTATTCATCCCATTCATCAAATAAATTTGTAACAAAAATTTTTTGACAGGCAATTACGCACTATCGATTTATCTTCATAACCATTGGTTTTACTAGAAAATATGAAAAAATCTTTTCTGTCGAAAATTTAATCAGCTGCAAAAAAATATTTAAACATTTCCTCCTTGAGTCGATAGTTTCCGAGATAAATCTTGATTTCCACTGGTCTGACTCCCCTTTTTTCTGGTTCTCTTGCATCCCTGTTAAGAATAAAGAACATAAAGAACAATTGTCACAAACCTTTTTGACTTTCTTCAGGATTAACGGGATCATTGTCATCATTCTTGTATTTAGGATTGAGCAAAGTTGGCACCAAGGCCGCAGCAACTGAAGTAGCTAAATTATTGTAAGGTGCGAGCATCGCCAACTGCATAATTCCTTTCTGATTAGCCAGTGAATTGTCACGAGTCAGTAAATTATTCGGCAATGCTTTCAGGAGGTGCATGATCTTGTAGCCAGCATGGAGGAATGTCAGGTACAGGAGTATACTCCAGGTGAGGAATATTGTTTGAACGATGTACTTTGTTACGAAGTGGTTGTGAAATGCCAGGGCAATATCACTGGCTATGACGCAGGAAAAATGACAAGTTATGATGAGACTCAGACAAGACTCCTTCTGGATTTTCTCTGGCCCGAATTTAAGCTGAAAATTTGCCAATCGGCTAATTAGGTCACCTGGTGGAGAACTAACGAAGAGTTTGATGAAAAAAAAAATTCATTAATTGCGAGGACTTTCTCGTTCCAAAAAGTTTTTTTTTTTAGAGCAGACCTTTGTGGACTGTGGGTGGGGTAATATTGAAATAATAAATTAGGGATTGATAATCTCTGGGGTTTTGGTTTTGCCTTTTGAATTCCCTACCTGGGTCAGCTGGAGGAAGGCAAGTTGGATGAGGCAGAAAGCCGAGGTCACACAAGGAAAACCGATGTCCCACAGTATTGAGCCTATTATCTTCGGCATTGTCTGCGAAAAACGAAATTTGCAATTAGGATTCAATCCTGCTTTTCCGCTCTATATCTCGCTTGTTTTCCGGTAAATAATCGCGATGAATCAGTGCTTCAATCATTGAGAAACTCGACGAGTCGACGATTTTTTACGATTATCCGTCATCCTGATCGATTGACATTCAATATTTTTGACTTCAAACGATTTTTCAAAATTCTTTCGTTCGTTCGAGACACGCAACGGATTTCTTCAATTTTCAATTTTTCAATTCATTTCATTTTTCTATTTTTATCTATTTTTTCATCAGTGGTGAGACCAAAATGTTGAAGAGAATTCCAGGAAAAATAATTCGGTGCCACCGGAAAAATTGTTGACTCATAAAAAAATGTGTGCAAAATACAATTGCAAAGAATTTTTTATATTCCTCAAAATTTATTCATAATTTAACAATGATTATTGCAATTATCATAAAAACTCTGCATTAGCCGCGAAGAATGGCATGTCCTGCCTTAAAAATATTAAACAGTATATAAAGTCCATGAAACCGCGAAGTCCTCTCATAAAATTTTTCATTAAAAGTTAAAAACGAAATGACACGAGTTTCATCCCTCCAGCATCAAGAGATAATCCGACTAAAGTCGAGAGTGATGATGCACTTTACGACTCCCAGAAGAATGTGGAAAAATAATGAAGAGGATTATTTACCTCTTGGAGATTGTAAGGATCTATGAAGAGGCAGCCAGACCTTGAGGCACCGAGCAAACACAGAAAGATGTTGATGGTCGACATAAATGGTCGACTGGAGATGAGAGATCTACAAAGATACGGGAATAACATCCTAAATAATTGAAGAGAGGAATAATTCATGGATTACCTCAGGTTCAGAATCGAGAAGAGGGTGTAGAAGCTGAGGACGAAGAAGAGGCAGGCGAAGCCGTACGTGTGGAGAGGAAATATCCATCTCAGGTCTTCATTAACTGACGACAGGGATGGTGCTAACAGCAATTTATCCACTGGACCACTGGAGTTGACACAGTTCTGACCTGAATTTGATGTTGCATTTGTGCCTGAAACGTGTTGAGATCAAATTGGGAAAAGCCTCAACCGGAGAGCAGCAAATTCCCAATGTTTTGTCTATTCTATTTTTTTTATCCTCCACTTTCCTTTGAATTATTTCAATTCTCATCAATTTTCAATGGAATGCCAATAATAATAATAATAATAATAACAATAATAATAATAATAATAATAATAATAATAATATATTTAATTTCATTTAATTTCCTTCATTTTAATGTTGAAAAGGGAAATGATGAGTTTTCTGAGTTTTCGGAGTCTGTATTAATTAAACTTATTCAAGATCGAGTGATTAAAATTAACTAAATAATCGACTTGCATAACTCGGTATGAGAAAAGTTTTCTGAGGTCTCAGTGAATTAATGCTCGTTCTGTTTTACTTTGATGGAAAAATCCTTCACTTCTCTCAATTATTTTATTTCTCTAATAACTCGTGCTACCCCTGGTAAATACAGAGGGAAAAATTACAGCCTAGTAAATATACTCGTAACAATTAAACACTTGATATTTCAATTTAATTATGAGAAACAATTTTAGAAAAATCGAAAATTATGACAATTCCTCGGATTTTTCGGTTCTTTAATGGTTCATTAAAATAGTAAAAACAGAAACGATGGAATTTCTAAAATTATCACACGAGTCTCCACAGCTTGACCACCAACACTCAATATTTCTGAAAGCCCCAGGGAAATAATCAAAAATATAAAAATCCTAATCCTCAAAATCCCCCAAAAACCACCCCCACAAAAAAAAAATGATAAACCCCAACGAATCCCTCAAAATTTCCAAAAACCTTGAGAATAATTTAGCATCTTGCCCCAGCATCCACCGACGATTTAATCCGACTGGCAACCCAGCAAAAAAGTTTCACCCCCAAAAAAGCCATCCCCTAATCCATCGATCCCTCAAAAAAGTGGAAAAAACGTCTGAACACTCATGTGTACCTACCGTGGGTCAAATTATTCAGTCTATCCATAATCTCGCCCCAGCAGACAACGACACATCACTCCAGCCAGCGACTCACCCCCAACTAAAAAAAAATAATATATATATCCGCAAAAAAAAGCGGAGACAATGTCTATTTATATTTATTTTCACGAGGAACAACACGCCGAAGAGGAGGGAAACAGCACTCACTTCCACTACGCGGTGGCAAGTGTTCACCAGCAGCAACAGGCTTTGCCTATAGAGTTGATATGATTTTGTGGGGCGGGCAAAATCCCCCCTGGAAGATTCACCCTCTCACCCACTGGCTGGTAATATTGATCTTCTTCAAAAGAGGGAAAACTGGTGGTGTAGAGGGAGAGATGTGCGATACCAACAGCCAACTAGACCTCTTCCTCATCCCCTACCACCCTCTGTACATCAATGTACCTTTTTCAACCCCCTGACAAGGGGTAAAGCCTTTTAGGCTCTTTATTTTTGCCACTCGATTCACCCATTGTTTTTTTTTTTTAATTTAAAATCCACTCGTGGGTTCATAAAAACGTATAAATAAAATATTTCAATTGATTTGTTCTCCACAATCTTCAGATTTTTTTTCCTTATAAAGTAATTGCAAATGTTGGATTATGGGATTGAAATAAAACATGTTCATTAACTTTTAAATAATTTTAATTGAAGATACTTTACAGAATTAATGATTCCATTGTTCTGACAAGGGTAATACAATTATCGTTTGCTCTCTTCTCGCGAATAACTATACATTCACCAGTCTTTATTAAACAAATAATAAAAAAAGTCACGGTAAAATAGTTGTAAGAACAAATTTGAAGAAGCGAATCGCTCGACAGCACCTGTCACTTGATGTAATTAACTTAAAAATACCTCCAGTCTCATTGTCACCAAATTGAATAATTTAAAGATCAAAACTGAAATCAATCATGGCAATGTTCATAATTGATTCGTCTAAATATAGAGTGGAGTGTAAAAAAAAAGAGCCGTTCACGTTACGTCAATAATCGGTCGAAGGGATCATTACTCGAACCCTAACGGTGTGGAAGTTGACCGACTTTAACGTACTATGAAGTGAAATAACGAGGAAGAATGGTTGTGCTAAAAAAATAAAAACCTTGGGGTGCAACAATTTGGATAAGTCCAGTGATAAATTCTTCATTGGAAGGGGATGGGGCAGAAGTAAGGGTGGAATATCCAGGTGAAGCCAAGTCGAATCGATTTATCTTCACCCCGAACTTTCGGATTTCCATCTGGAGTTTGCAAAGCCCAGGGATTTCAGTCGATCTTGAAAACTCCTTGGGCTATTTTCAATATCAATTCAGCTATGGATATCGGCTCTCAACGGAAGTACTGATAACTGGGTCGAATATTCATGTCTCTATCATCTTGATTGGGTGATTAATTGATTCGTTGAATGAGTTGGATTTTTTTTTTGGGAGAAAAAATGAAAACTTTTTTGATGATTTATCAGAAAATTTATAACAAACGGCGATAATTCACGCGGCACTTGATTTTTATTCAAAAAAATTATGAATATGATTATTGATTCGATTTTAATTCAAATCAATTATTGCAGTAATTATGAAAAATCAATTAGAAAAAATTATTTTTTAAATAATTCGATTGGGGGATTCGATGAAAAAACATTTCTGAATATTAAAGGCCGATAGAAGAACTGCATAATTCGATGTGTCCCTTTAACTAGGTATTGTCAACACTTGAAACTTTTATCTCAATATTTGTATTTTTTTTTTTTTTTGAATGCTCGAGTTAATCCAATTATAAGGGTCGATTCCGAGAAAAAAAATTCCAAGAAATTCGAGACACTCATTGAGAACTAGCGAATATATTCTTACGAGAAAAAGAATGACCTCTAAAACAGAGTGAGCGATTCCAGGAAAAAAAATTCTCGAGAATTAAATACCCATAGAAGAGTTGTGACCTAATTCGATTTGTCCTCCAAATAGGAAACGTAAACACTCAAAACTTTTATCTCAACATTGGTATGTTATTGTTTTGAATTCTTCGGGTAATCCAATTATAAGGGTCGATTCCGAGAAAAATAAATGTCCAGAAAATCGAGACACTCACTGAAAACACCCAACTATTTTATTTACTCCAAAAAGAATTACCTCCGAAATAGAGGGAAATAGCAAAAAAAAAATTCTCGAGAATGAAATGCCGACAGAAGAGTTGAACATTAAATTTAATTTATAAAAATTAAATTTGTCTGCAATTGAGTACCAAAAAAACTCGACACTTCTCTCAACATTCCGATTTTTTTTTTAGCTCTGGTTAATCTAATTTAATAACAAAAAGACACACAATAATATAATTATATAATAATATAATAATATAATAATATAATAGTATAATAATATAATAATGTAATCATAAAATTGATAAAATTGATGACCAATTTTAACCCAATGAATGTACAAATAAAAATGTTCATACTCCAATCGTCCTAACGATGCACAATCGATTGCACTAGATCATTCCCCTAATTAGTGCACCTTGTTGGGTGCACCTGGAGAGACGAAGAGGCCATTGATTAATGAGGTTTGTCGTCAGTTGTAAACCACCGAGCACTGGGCCACCAATAGCAGCCTCTCCATAAACCCCTGGCAACTGCATGCGTGTTCATTACAAGGTTTAAAACCCCACAAACACAACCGCGAGAAGTGGGAGAAAAAGTTAAAAAAAAAAAAAGGATCACACAGGGCCGGAAATGGCGGAGCGTGATTGATTCCCCGAGAATGATGTACGTGAACATCATTGGCAAAGATCGGCTAATGACGTCAGTTATTTCACACGTGTGACTGATGCACTCCTCCACAAGTACCTGGAATATGTGATTAACCAAGTGTCCAAGATTTTCACTGATAAATTGGCAGTGAGTCTAGTGCATTGCCATCGGTGACACACGCACGAGCAAACAAGGCGTTCCTCAGTTGCTCTAGGTGATACTGTCCACTGGTGAACAAACAGAAGATAAATCCACAGGATTATCATCTCGGGTACCAAAAAATGAGAGGTCAACAATTATCAAGGAGTCCAAGTGTCATTCATATCTCGTGGCCAACAGAATTCCTTATTCTTACGAGTGTAACGACCGCCCTCATGTAGCGAAAGTGAATTGTGTGATAGTGCATTCACTATTGTGATTTGACAGACTGAGAATGACATTCAACAATTTTGAGAATTAAATTCTTTCGCGTTATTGGAGTAATTGGAATAATCCTGAGAGTACGAGGATGGTTGATTAATAGTGGATACCATTAGAGTTTTTCGGGTCCCGAGGGAAGTCGAGGTTTGTTTAAGGCCTTTGAAGATGGTAGTGTAATTTCCAGAGAGGATAACGACAATAAAACCTTGAGGAAGATGGACGAGTGCATGTTGAATGACCTTTTGGAGTGCTCTGTCTGCCTCGAGAGACTGGACACCTCCAGCAAAGTGTTACCCTGTCAGCACACGTTCTGCAAAAAATGTCTGGAGGAGATAGTGAGCACTCACCGTGAGCTCAGATGCCCGGAGTGTCGTGTCCTGGTGGACGTCAAGGTGGACGATCTGCCCCCGAATGTACTGCTGATGAGAATCCTCGAGGGGATGAGGAATGCCACTCCCAAGAGTGCCAAACCTTACTCGAGAACCCTGAGCACTCCCCAGAGGCTCTTCGGTGGTCATCAGGTATCCCCAGCTGTCAATCCCACACCATCACCCATTGTTTTAGCTGTTGATCCTGCTAGACACGCCAATGCCTCCGCCAAACAGGTTCACCTGCACAATCAGCCTTATGGAAGGGCTATTTATGATTATATCTCCAAAGTACCTGGGGATTTAAGCTTCAAGAAAGGAGAGATCGTTGTTCTCAGAAAGAAGATTGATAATAATTGGTACTTTGGGGAGTGTGGAGCCAATCATGGGGTATTTCCACTCTCCTATGTACAGGTGATGACACCTCTGCCTCCCCACGTGCCTCAGTGCAAAGCTCTCTATGATTTTCGCATGACTAATGACGAGGAGGATGGATGCCTGACCTTCAACAAGGGAGAGGTAAACTGTTAATTTCCTAAATCTCAAATATTATTAACCTTCACGTCTCAATTTATTTCTTCTTCGATCAACTTATCGATGATTTACCCTAGGTGATAAGTGTGATAAGACGAGTGGACGAGAACTGGGCAGAGGGAAAGCTCCTGGACAGAATAGGAATATTTCCCCTGGCATTCGTGGAGTTGAACAGCGTGGCACGTGCCCTGATGAAGCTCTCGACGAATGTCCAGCCAGGGCCATCCCGAGTGGCACCCCCAACCCCTACAAACGAGGAGATAACACCCCTGATCCCCACGGATCACACGAGAAACGTGCAAACCCCGAGGGATAGCAATCCCAGTGTACCAGTGACAGGTGCCCTGGCAGTGTCTGACTCGAGTTCAACGGTGTCATCGGGTGGTAGCTCGACAACGACAACCCCCAACACACCAAACAGTTCAAGCACATCAAGCAGCTCCAGTACAGCGCCAAGCAGTCCCATCAGCCCAGCGACATCACCACCAGCTGTTGGCAGTCGTCACTCAGCGAAACGTCACAGTTTTACAGCCATGAACAGTGGACACCACCAGCATCCTCATCATCGACACTCAGCAGAGATTCTCAGTCCCCCGGTGGATACCAATGGTGGCAGCAACACCTCCACCTCCACCTCCGACGTATTCTCATCACCAATTAATGCCTCTCCAGGGCCTGAACATAACATCAGGCATCGACGCAGTGGCAGCAGTGATCTTGTGCTCTCTCAGCCATCATCAAGCCTCCCAGCATCCAGCAATCTTCCAGCTGCATATATTGCCCTGTATCCTTACAAGCCTCAGAAGGGGGACGAGCTCGAGCTGAGAAAAGGGGGAATTTACATGGTCACTGAGAGATGTCAGGATGGCTGGTTCAAGGGGACGTCCAATAGAACTCAGAAGTGTGGGGTTTTTCCTGGAAATTATGTGGCACCTGCCAAGTGCCAGAGGGGAATATGTCGAGTCACTCCCACCAGTACTCATCAGACTGCCACATTGACCACTGTACAGAGTCCAGGTGACACCAGGGGAACTGTCACGTATACCAAGGGCAAGGGAACTATACAGCAGTCGTATAGCCCTCGATCCCTACCACCACCTGAATTACCACCCAGGGCTGTCAGCCCTTCACCTGCTGTCTCTGCTTCCTGGCATGGGCAGGCTCAGGGTCACAGCCCTTCCAGGGGAAATGAACAGGCCAATCCTCTCGGTAGAAGCCACAGTGCTGTCATGACGTCTAGTGTCGGTGAGTTTTCAGTTATCTTTATCCGTAACGAAGTGATAATTTGACATATGGACACTTCGGTTATTTCTCAATTACTCAGTACTCTGGAATAATTTTTTATGGTTGGCCAGAGTGTAGAACTTTGTCCTTGAAATCAGTGTCAATATTTCAACGTTTCGGTAATTCTGGTGGGATTGCAGCATCTCCAGGGAAGACGATGCTTTCTCCACCCTCCACAGGGACACCAGCCACGAGCTCATCTGACATCAACAGGAGCCCCTCCAATACCCTGAGGATCACCGGTGGCATCACACCACCACCAAACACCTCTGCTGCTGCTGCCTCCATCAAGTCCAATGAAAAAGTAAAGGTCATTGCTCGATATTCATCAGTTTTTGGTTTTAATACGTTCACATGTATTTTAATTCCCTTGATAATTCATTCAGACTAAAGAGAAGAAGGAGAAAGGGGTGTCCCTCATGAGGAGATTGACAAACATAAAAAAATCCAAGTCCCCACCTCCTGCCACTTACTCCATGGATAATCCTGTCTTCGATGATGGGAATTTCGTCACTTCTCTGGATACTGTACACGTTCGGTAAGACCTGGCCTAATTAATGTTTCATTATGCTTTATTACACGATTTATATAGTGATTAATATTCGTTAATTCGCATTGCATTTTGAGTCGTGCATTTGTGTTAGTGTTAATCAGGGAGATTGGGGCAAAATTATTGTACCTTATTAGCCCCAGACTCCTCTGCTCTTTGTTCTGCATTGGTTTTTTTTTTTTCGTCACGCACTACTAACGTTGCTGGCAATAATCCAAGATGACATATCGATGAATAATAACAGAGGATAGGTAAAATAAATGGTAATGAACGAATTGGCATCAGCTCGGGATCCTGTCCGAGTCAATTGCTCCAGGTGGTACCAAACCAGGAAGGAGTCTCACCGAATCATCTCCGAGTGTATCCTGGAACGGTTCAAGGGAGTGTCACAGCATCACAAAGAGTTAAGCACAAGGAACGGCCAGCATTGCCCGTTTCCTTTGTCCAGAGGTTAGTCATTCGCCTGCTGCTTCTAGTCATTTTACATTTATTTCATTTTATTGTTCGTGGAATGGCATGTCACGAGCTTTTGCTCTAATTGCACTGCATGTTGTCGTTGACGTCACGTTTATTCTCCTTCGGGGGAGAATTAATATATTTTCTAAGAGAGATCCAGGGGGTAATGATCTCTCTTTTAACAGGTCCGGAGAGGCGGGATGTGCTGTCGCTGTCTCTGGGAATCACCACAGGAAGAGCAACTCCCTCGACGCAGGCATGGGAAAACAGAGTAAACAACAGACTGCTACTCGCGAGAGGTGAGTTAAAATCCCCAGGAAATAAATGAACAAAATAAATGGAAAAATAATTGTTTATGTTACAGAGAAAGGGTCAATCGTTTTCGTTGCATCGTGCCCTATCCTCCGAACAGTGAATTCGAGCTGGAGCTGCGTGTTGGTGACATTATCTATGTCCACAAAAAGCGTGAGGACGGATGGTACAAGGGGACCCAGCAGCGTACAGGACGCACTGGCCTCTTCCCAGCGAGTTTCGTCGAGGCTTTCTGAGACACGACCAATGGTCGTCTCGTTCTAGAGACATGTATATGAACGACGTACGTCATAGAAGAGACAACCCTTAAGCAATGGAGTGAGTTTGCCGGAACTATTCAATCGAGTGAGTAATTAATTGAGTCAAGTGCCGAACGTTGAGTAGGAGAATTGATAACTGCCATGGCTGGTGAGTGAAGAAATTATTAATAATGTAAGCTGTACGGGTATAATCACTCGTACGCTGAAATCGCGTGCAATTTTAATTACTGCCAGTGGTGATAATTGAGGTGGACATTGTCATGGATCTGGTGATCTGTGGGAGGACCTTTTGAAGCTCAGACGCAGTATCTTGTCGATTCTATGTCGAGTCATTTTTTGATTAATCTGTAATTTAGGAAAAATTGTGTCTTTGTCTTGTGGGTATCATTGAGGAATGTATAAGACTAACTTCATTGAGACTTATAAAAATGCCATTTTTGTACAGTTGTTTTTTAAATCCTGTGTAGTCCATTTTTTTTAGTCCTTTTTATTCATTTTTTATGGATTTTTTGGGTTACAACGTGCAGAGGTCACTGACTATCTCGTCAAATTTCCGAGAAACAATTAATTTCCACGTTAATTAATGGAAAATGTTCATTTACTAAATTATTTAGTAGAAGAAATTCTAGAGATTTGACTCTTTTCATTGCTGTCTATTAGCTTTTACGTGAAATTTAAATCATTGTCTGTTTTTACATTTTTTTTTTACGTTGATTCTGTAAAGAATGAGATTTACTATTTTGAAAAGTTTTTAGACCCTCGGTGATTAATGAATATTGTTTACAATGTTGAATGGACGATCGGTTGTACGTTTTATCTTATGACAATGTCAATGCGTCATCGAGGTGCGTACTGACTGTCCATTTGATGATGCACATATTAATGATAAAGCATATCTCTAATAGCTGGAATACTCTTGTCGAGTCAAGTGAATATAATTTTAACAAAGGCGTGACAAAGCGTACTTAGACTCACAACTACACGTGTGCAAATATTCCATTGAAAAACCCAAAACTTTCTATTAAAAAAAAAATGATTTCCCCTGCAATTCGTTTTATGTGCATCATAAAAAATGCATTTCAATAAAAAAAAATAATTAATTGATAGTCCATTCATGATAATTTATCAATTATGAAACAAATTGATATTTTTATCGATAATTTTCATAGGAAAAATCACAAATATCGATACATGGTCACATAAAGTCTGGGATTTTCTGTCGATTTTTTGCACGCGTGTGATTTTATTTATTTGTTTTTTATGAAGTATACTATGTAGCCAAACTAATGGGACCGATGAGTCCCCTAGAGGAAGAGAATATAATATACATAGGTTGTATCATTGAACAGTCGCATTGATTATTATTCTGGGTGACGACTCAATTGTACCTAAGCTTCGCAGTCATCAATTATTCAGATCCTCTTAATGGACTGAGTGAACAACTAGGTAAAACAAATAGCAAGAATTTTTTCATGGAGGTGAATAAAATTTGAAGAAACGTGTCATAATCGAGACTCCGCGAGTGTTCAATGGCTTGTACTGCGTTTAAATAGGAAAATGTATTAATTGATTAATCACGCATAATTCGAGGATTCATAATTAATAGCGATGTAAATGATAATCGTAAGTGAGAGAGGAAATTGAGTGAAATAATGTAATTTTTTTGTGTTCAGGTACGTTTTCTGGATTCAATTAAACAATAATAATCGAAGAGTTGAGATTAACTGATTCTATTTTACCTTCAGCACGAATTTACTAACGCACAAGCACAATGTCAGAATTTTTTCGCTGGCTTTTTTCAAACTTACGACTCTTCACTCTTTTAAGATGAATATATTTGTAGGTGACGAGTCTTTCACATAAATTATTGGGGAAATTCTTCGATTATTTTTGGATGTTACCACTAAATGGCCGTCATACACCCCCCGGAGATGAGAATAATATTTATACACCCATTTTGTATGACTGTAGATCAGTAAGTCACATTTTACGATAAATAGGGGATAATGGGGTCTTAATCTTAAGCACAAACGATCATTGATTAATTGTGGTGAACGATTTTTACGAGCTTCATCCCCACAACGATTGGCTCACCAGCAATTTATGACTCTAACAAAGAAGTAAAGAGTAACAGATCGACTTGGCTGGTAGTTAAATTTTTTATGCAAAAATATTACTTGTCATTTGATCGATCAGTTAAATCGATACTGTTTACCTTTTTGCTGCTAAATTTATCGAGTCGCGATTGAGTCACATAATGACGTCCAATTTATTTATTCTAGCGAAGTAGTGGGTAGTCGAGGAACCAAACTGTAATGCATTTTAATTATTCAGACGATCTTTTATCAACCGTGGGCGAATTTATTCAGATGCATACCATACGAAAATCAAGAGAATTTCAAGAGGAAACGTGTCAATTCTCTCTCATGACATTTCACCTGTTTATTATTCCTCTTAGATACTGGGAGAGTATCATAAATACTTTACTCCAATCGTTTTTACATATTCAATTTCAAAAACATCACGAAATTATTTATCTCGACGAACGATAAGAAAATAATAAACAGGTGACAGAGAAATTGTGCGTTTCCATTATTATGTCATGCTCAGAGGAATAATTGGAGTGATAAGAACACCGATAAGATGTGCCCATGTGCAAACAATGAGAACAATTATTATGTAATTAAAAATAAAAAGGGGAAGAAGCGGAATCTCTTGATGTTGTGCCCATGCGTAATTTACATACGTAGTATTCTCTAATATATTTCATTAAACAGGAAAATGTAATAAAGGTGAAGAGAATATGAGTGAAGTCGTATTGTTGGTGTTTTATTTATCCCTCAATATTTTTAATAATTCATTATGTCTGTCCATGTTTATTCATTCCATTTATCGACTGATGTAGAATAATTCTAATCATCCAAATCATTTGCATTAGTCAATTAGTCTTTATCTAGAAAAATTGTGGAGCTAAAAATATTTTTCCCTTTCTCGCTCTAGTGCTAAATACCTAATCAATAGTTACTCGCAATAATTGAGAATAATCACGCGATCATTCAAAATGATAAGTCACGAATGATTATCATCATCACGCGATACAGTAATTATCAAATTGTCCTCGAGCTGCTTCTAAAATTCCACTGAAAAAAAAAAAACTCCAATGATTCTCCAATATTGCTCATTGGTACTTCCGGTCTGGGTTGCAGAGAGAAAAATTTAATCGCTTGACCATCGCCTCATGCAAAGGCCACAACTTTGTACATTATGTGATAAAATTTATGCGTCGTTTTTTTTTTCTTGGAATAAAAGTTCAATTTCCCGCGTACCAAAGACGATCGCCAATACCTGGGATCGTGGGGAATAATTTCAGCGGTTTTTTTTTTTCGTGTCAGGTGTTTTGCGGTGGAAAATCGAACGGCTTTTCAGACGAATGATTTTACTGGGACTGTATGTCGTGCTTCTCTCTCTCTTGTACGTACGATGTGTGTCAGTATGTGTTGAGTGTAAAAAGCACTTGGCAGTTTCAGTCGTCAACCCATCGCGAGTGTCGAAACACATGCGGTGATTTCGACAAGACGACCACATCATTTTTCCAATCCAGAATCAGCCAGTTCTGTTTTTACAGTTCGTGCCGGTCAGTAATTATCATCAGTTCAATAAATTGAAGTAAATTAATGAAGTCATTCATAAATTTGTCATTGAGGGTTGTTGAGGAGTTGTTTCCACTGGGTGCCAATCGATTTGGACTTTGAATCACAAATTCCATGACCACATGAAAGTTCTACCGAATCTTCACGAGGGCATAATTTTTTAATTTTTCATTCGCGGAATTTCCGAGGTTAATCCCAACATCTCATCTACAACGTTCCATTTTGATAATGAGTGATTAACTCTCAGGGTGAATTTCTGCGAAAGTTATAATTCAGGAGTAATTAGTTGTTCTTGATGGTTTTATGAGGTTTTAGTATGAGTTTCGGGGATAATTATTTAATTCGTTATCCACCAAGTTTTAATTGTCCTCAGATTAATCGAGTTGATGTTGAGTTGGTGGTGAGTGTCGGTGGGAAGAGCAGCTGACGGAGTTATATTTGGTCCAATCAATTTTCATTCAACTCCCAGTGGAAATAGCCTCAGGAGACTTCCAAAGAGAATAATAAATCAGAGTAATAATAATTTCAAATAACCCACCCCTTTCTAAAAAAAAGTATCGAATATCCTGAAGCAAAAGATTTACTCAATAATCAAAATGAATAATTACCAGTAATTACTGTTCTTTGTCAGTAATTTCATGTGGGTTTTTCATTGATGAGTATTTTTATTCTATTTTGACATCTCTGAATGGAGTGTGATGTGGAGATGAAAGCCACGGAATTTTTTCCAGAGATTTTCCAGAGGTCATTCTGCAGGAATTCCTCTAATTCTCTCGTATTTGCGATTCGATTGAATTCACGAATCTGGATGTGAGGTCGATTATAACTTTGTGACACTGTTTTTTATTTCTTTGCTATTTTTGGACTCACTTCTTTGTCGGTTGACGCAGGTCAGGGGGAAGTTGGGGAGTGCAACGCGGAAGTAATTACGTTTGTGGGGATTTACCGTTCGTACGCGGGAAACATTTGACGGAAAACAGTTGGTATGTCGTTAACAGGAGCTGTAGCCTATGGGGACGACGAATACTCAAGGATGAACCTCGACGATTCATTCATATATTCAAATACTCAAAAGTGATTGATTTCTCTGATTTGCAGTTGTCCTATCTCAAAGTGAAATGTCACTACTCCGGAATTTTGTGGTGACCCTGGCTCGCAGCCGATTAACTGCCCTCAGACAATCGTCTCTCCGTGGAAGAAAGCAGAATTTGCTGATGGGTTTCGTAGCCTGTCGGCTGATATCGACCCACCACGTCACCAAGAACATGGAGCTCATCACAACGGACTCGAAACCACCAACACTGGACAAGCTAAATGACAAACCGAGGGATAAACCACTTCTGGTATTCCTCTCGTGGCTGATGGCTCAGCCAAAACACGTGAAGAAATACACCCAATTGTACCTGGAGCAGGGCTTCGACGTTGTCCACGTGAGCTCCACCCCCTGGCAAATGATGTGGCCAGTCAAAGGCACAAGACCTGTCGCCTACGATCTGCTCTCCTTCCTCGAGCAGAACTCCATGAACTACCAGCAGGTGATGATCCACGGTTTTTCCGTTGGTGGATATATGTGGGGAGAGTTGCTGACGTACGTCCATCAGGATCGTAAGAGATACGATCCCGTTATGGAGAGAATTGTCGGCCAGGTATGGGACAGCGCTGTGGATGTCAGTGAAATGTGCATTGGGATACCTAGAGCTGTCTTCAAGAATAATGCAGTCATGCAGAAATTCCTTGAGAAATACCTAGAGTATCACCTGAAGACATTCTACAATCAGGCGACGCAGTACTACATCAGATCGAGTCAGATGTTCCACACGAATTTAGTCCAGGCACCAGCTCTCTTTCTCGTCAGCAATACCGACACTGTTGGCACTGTCGAAAGCAATATGAGGGTTCGAGACTCCTGGGAGTCCATGGGAACACCTGTGAGTATTTATCTCACCTGGGGAATTAATTCTCTACAAGATTTAATAATGTAATTAATTGATCATTTATTTCTACTAATTTTCAGACGTACGTAAAGATCTTCGACAAATCACCGCATGTTGGACACTTCAGGAAATATCCGAAGGAATACACCCACGAGCTCTACACATTCCTCAATATGCTGAAAATGATCAAGAACGAGGATAAGCTTCGCGCTCGTATGTAGGATTTACAAGGTCGCCATGAGCCCTCGCAATTCGATATGAAATGAATTGCAGATGTCATTCTTGAATTTTGATGACTACTTGAAAGGGAACACGAGTGTTGGATAAACAATCAAGTGCCTTTTGCTGCCACTGCGTCTCGAATCCTCTCTTCTCGTTAATTAAACGTATTTTATTCTCTCAATCTATTGGTGAATGCAAAAATCAGACGAGATATATCGGATCCCATTTATTATTAAATAATACGATCAGTAATGATATTATCAGTGGAATAAATCTCCGTAGATCTAATTCTTTTATATTGATCCTCATATTTCTCGTATAATTTCTGTATTCAACAGCAAGTGAGGGACACACTATTCACTGATGTTTAATCAATCGCATTCAGTTGACAGAATGTCATTCAATTGATGCAGTCAGTTGCATTAATGAATCAGATATAGTTTTTTTCATTACTCGTTTGGGAAGCAAATAATTTTTCTACTGTGATGTACTGGATATTCAATAAAAATAAAATTGAAATCAATTCGAATGATTTATGATTTATACAGCATTAATTCTCGATTTTCTCTTCCTCTTCGGGTTTATTAATTTCTGATTTTTTCCTCTTCTCTCGTTTCCTCTGCTTCTTCTTCTGTGACGCAAGAAGCTCCTCGATTTCATCCGGGTCTTTCCCCTCAAGAATCCATTTCTTTCGTTTATTAATCATTTTCTTCTCGTAAAAATCAGTCTCATCCAGTTTAATTTCCGCTTCGCGCTTTGTCACTGATATCTGTGTAAATATCGTAACGATTTCTTTATCTGAAATCAATGGAAATACTAATTAAAATAATCAATTCTCATGAGGCTACGAATATATTTGCAGATTGCATCATGTACCATCAACTTTGAACTCAGATAATTTCGTTCCAATGTTCTCTTCGATAGCATGCAGTAGCTTGATGTCGTGAGGGGTGATGAGACTTATGGCCATTCCACCACGTCCCGCCCTGGCTGTCCTACCCACTCGGTGGATGTACTCCTTGGGGACGTTGGGAATTGTGTGGTTGAGGACGAGCTCGACGAAGGGAATGTCCAGTCCTCTGGCAGCCACGTCCGTGGCTATCAGAATTTTCGTGTGATTCGATTTGAATTTATTCAGGGCAGCCAGACGCTCTCTTTGTTTTATCATCGCGTGGAGGGCCACGTTCTCGAAACCCACTTCATTAAGTGTCATCGAGAGCAGCTGACAGGATCTAAAAAATATCACACCATTCATCTACATTCATCTACATTTCTAAAAAAAAAAAAGAATCAATGAATTATTAATTAAAATAAATACGTGACGAATAAAATTAAAAAACTTTAATAATTCATTATTTTTTCTTGGAATTTAATTAAATAATAAATTATTTAAACAATTCCACGTACTTGCAGGTATCAGTGAATACCATAATTGATCCATTATGATTTCCTTCTCTAAACGTCCTGATAACTTCCACCAGGAAGGCGTCCTTGACGTCATTGGGGCACAAGACATACCTCTGATCCAATTCCTTGACGGTGGCAGTGCCAGAATCGTCCTGTGCCTCGTACTCGAATACCTTGTTGGTAGCGATCCTCTTCACCTGCTCGAGAGTGTCAGTTATCGTAGCACTAAACAGCAGTGACTGCTTCTGTTTGGGCAGAGCCTTGAATATCGTGGCTATCTGCTCGTCGAAGTGGCCACCGAGAAGTCTGTCAGCCTCGTCCAACACCAGGAATTTTATCCTGTCGAGGGTGAACGTGTCACAGCTCTCGAGGTGATCTGCAAGACGTCCTGGTGTTGCCACCACCACGTGAGGACGTTTTGCAAGCTCCTGGGCCTGAACCATCATATCCATTCCACCTACCACCACGCATCTCTTCAGGTTTATTGCGTTACCTATCGCTGAAAATTGTTCAGCTATCTGAAATGCCAGCTCTCGAGTTGGCGTGAGGACCAGTGCAAAAATTCCGTAAGGATCTTCGCACAATTTTTGGAGAATGGGCAATGCGAAAGCCAGTGTTTTTCCACTACCGGTTTTAGCACATCCAATGCAATCATCACCGGATAAAATTCTTGGGATGCAATTCTGCTGGATTGGTGTGGGTTTTTTTACTCCTATTGTTGCTAGCTGCTTTATTATCCAAGAGTTGAGCTTCAAATCCTCGAAACTCTGGAATTCTCCACTCATAATGATTTACTCACTCATCAAAACACAAAGTAACACAAAATTTTTATTGAAATTGTTTATAAACTTTGGACTGATAGATCCACGTGGTGAGTGGAACGTTGCACTCCATCGATCAATAATTCCGAGGTTATGCTGGTCTTCAAGGAATCAGCTGATTGAAGAGAGCGGAGTGTTTACACGAACTGTCGTAAAAAGTCGTTCTCAGTGATTATCAGTCACAACTATAATTGAAAAGCGAATCTGAAACTCTAAAAAACCAACGGAATATTCAAAAAATCTTCGAGATCCACCTGTGCACAAGTTGGGTCTACTGTAGTAGAGAGATAACCTGGGGGAACGAAAATAAACGACAGGAAAATAGAAAACATTTGATCAGAGGTTAGGTCGTGATATTCCTTTGTTCCTAAAAGGTAGACCAATCAATTATTTTCTCATAAAATCCCAGTTATTGAATCGTATTAAATTAATCGAGAGTTAATAAGTCGCGATTTAATTGAATTCAGATATCCCGGAATCGATAAAATGGCCGGTTCGTCAAAGGAAGAGCCAACGATTGCCCAGAGGATGTGGGAGATGACCAACGACGTCGAGACGATATCATCAGTCGACGAGATATACAGATACGATCACCAGGAGCAGCAGAGTATTTTAGCAGCAAAACCATGGGAGAAAGATCCTCACTTCTTCAAGGATATAAAAATTTCAGCCCTGGCCCTCTTGAAGATGGTGATGCACGCTCGTTCAGGTGGAACACTGGAGATAATGGGTCTTCTCCTGGGGAAAGTCACGGCCAACACGATGATCGTGATGGATTCATTCGCTCTTCCTGTCGAGGGAACTGAAACACGTGTTAATGCCCATGAACAGGCGTACGAGTACATTCCAGCGTACATTGAGGCAGCAAAACAAGTTGGCAGACTGGAAAATGCCATCGGCTGGTACCACAGCCACCCTGGTTATGGCTGCTGGCTCTCTGGAATCGATGTCTCCACGCAGACCAACAATCAGACGTTCCAGGATCCCTTCGTTGCAATCGTCATTGACCCCGTGAGAACCATTTCAGCTGGAAAAGTCTGTCTGGGAGCTTTCAGAACTTATCCAAAGGTGAAAATCAGAATATTTCTGCCGAATTAATTGTTTTGGAGATATTCAATAATTTATTTATGATTTTTTTTTATAGAAACTGATTTTTTAGCCTATTTATTCGTTTTTATTTGTTGTTCGCTCTTCCAGGGATATAAACCAGCCAATGAAGAGCCCTCGGAGTATCAAACAATTCCCCTCAATAAAATCGAGGACTTCGGAGTTCACTGCAAGCAGTATTACCCCCTGGAGGTCTCGTACTTCAAGTCCTCCTTGGACAAACGCATACTGGAGTCCCTCTGGAACAAGTACTGGGTCAACACTCTCAGCTCATCGAGTCTCCTGACGAATGCTGATTACACTACGGGACAGATCTTCGACCTGGCTGACAAACTCGAGCAGTCAGAGTCAGTTGTGGCTCGCAGCAGTCATGGTTTTCTCATTGCTGCTGAGTCTCAGGACACCAAGACAGAGGATAAACTCACGAAAGCCACCAGAGACAGCTGCAAAACAACTATCGAGGTCATCCAAGGCCTCATGACCCAGATCATAAAAAACAAACTGTTTAATCAGATTGGCTCCATTCGAATGGAGACATAATTTTTTTGCATATTTTTGTATTAAATCTGAAGATGAGACACTCTCCGGACTCATAGCAAATGTCCAACGAATTGGTTATTATCTACGAAATTTTTTAATTATCAATGGTATTCAGTAACTTGTAATGAATGACCTTGACAGTAAATAAATTTCATGGGCAGTATCAAAATGTTATTAACAGTGTGCAGGGAAAAATTTTCTGCTGGATGCAAATAAATCGATAATGAAAAATACAGTATTATTATTTGAAGTCGTTTATTGCGATATCCTAATTCATAAAAAATAATAATGACAATGTATCTTCGTCTCATTTTTCTTCGCTTTTTCACCTGCAGTTTAGTCTGGCTTACGTTTGCTGGGATCGTACAAAAAGAAGAGAGAAACGATATAAAAACGAGCAATTAACGATTAACGTGATAACAAATACTACCCCATGGGTTATCGCCCAAGGGTGGTAGATGCTTCGTGAAATAAAAATTATTAAAATTCCATGCCATCGATGCATCCCTCGCGCCTCCCGCAATTACACATTCACTGGGTAATTTTTTTTTTTGAGTTAATATTTTTTATTCATTCTCTTTATCGCGCATAAAAAAATTAATCCCAATGCTCTCGTCGATGATTTCTAAATTAAATAACGAGCGTTACACTCCTAAGCGTGAGAATGAAAATGGACACGTAATATTCATTCGATAACAATTAAAAATTCATCTAATGGCAGTGAGAGAAAATTAATTTACCTCGGAAAAACAAGTGTTTTGTTCTCGATAGACGGATTTTACTTTTCCTCGTGGAAGGTGAAAATGAAATAATGAAAGGAGTTGAATTTCTCGTCAGTAATTATTATGGATTTTTGATAGTGAAAAATTTCTATGCAACTAGTTTGGCAAAACATGGAATTACCGACGAGATTAGCTCCAATTTTGAGATCGAGTCGATTCAGTGATAAATTATCGAAATTCGATGAGAATATTTATATCACAGATGAGTTTTTGCAGACAATCGGAAAACAAAAACTTATCCCGATGGCAATACTTCTCACTTCGTTAATCATCTACTGAATAAATTCTTCTTCCGATCGCGAATCCATTGGCGATAAAAAATAATGTGAATTTCAATAGCTACACCATCCCTCGAGTAATATCGAAACAAAGACATTTTAGGTGGTACAGTAATAGTATATCACAAACGTTTTTCATCATTTCGTCATATCATAGAGGGGGAAAAATTGGATAATCATTTCCCAGGAAAAAAATCTAAGTTTCTAAAGTTTAGGTTCACCTCCAAACTCTACGATTCTTTTTACATCGCATTCAATTACTTCACTGAATTTTATTTATAATTATTTATACGTTCATGGGAGTAATGCTATTGCACGAGCGAAGTAGAATTTTCATTATATCGATTTTTTAACCGTAGGAATTCCTTTCTGTAGGAAAAAAGCAAATGAAATATCCAAAATGACCAGAACACGTGTGCAAATCACACAAATTCCACCTCCAATTCAATCCATACATTTTCCTTTGAATTTTTATATCATTAAAACCACAAATAATGTCATCGATAAACCTTCACTTACGAGAAAATCGATAATCCGAAGTATGAACTGACGAAGCTGCTTAAATGTCATCGAAAAATTGTTGTCTTTCCCTTACCGTCACCTCAGAAAAAATCTTCCAACACAATACGATCGTCCAGAATTGTTTTTATGATTTCTTTACTTATCGTTATCGCTATGTACAACATTAATGATATCAGAAATCAATTTAGTTATCGTTTCCTTCAACCATTAAATTTCCTGAATTCTCGCCTCTGCAGTTGTCTCGAGTACATAAGTAATACTAATTTCTACCTAAACAGCTCGTGCTGTTATTTATTTTCATTTTAATACTATTGTACAATAGTATAATTCAAGTATTCTTCCCATTCAATTGCAGATGGACCTGCAACATTTATAAAAACAAACGTTCCTCGTCTGCCGTATTACCTCGGAATCATTATCTCCATATTTTTGTTTCATTCCCACGATCAGAGATATTCTCAAATTACAAACGGCACATGATTCAGTAAAGTTGTAAAATGACAAAATTCGAATATTAAGTTTTGTTAAATATCCATTGATGTTATAAAATGATTTTGCAAAAAACTACTGAAAGATCTTTTTTGTAAAAAATGGAATAATCCACAAAAAAGTTCTCAAGTGCCCCGATATCAAAATCAATAGCTTTTCAGACAAATCAATAATTCAGAAAAATCTCAAGTTCAACTTATGTCAAATTGTCACATAACTTCTTTACTGAATTCTTAAAAAAAATAATAAAAGAAACATTTTCCCAATATTTTCCTATGCCATACGTCAATCTAAGAATATCGGCGATAAGAATGCAAAAATTCAGACAAAGTTCGAGGAATAATAATCCTGAAATGGATGACTTATTCCCATCGAGGCTGTAACCGTTAAGAATGCGGTAGATCAATGGTATGTGTTTCATTCCCAAAGATCAACCGAAGTCTCTTCATGGGTGGAGGTGGTGGATCGAGATGAATTTCCCTTCGTTTATGTCGTCTCTCCCTGTCCCTTGTTTTATGTTTTTTCTTTCGCCTGGAGCTCTCTACCCCCTCGACCCTGAGTACCTCATACTCGGGCTCATAGCTGTCCTCACTGAGACTAGTCCCAGACTCGACGACATCATCGAGAATTGGTGATCGTTTCATGCGCAGTGTGAGCTTTAACCGACCCCCAGGACGTTCGGGGGTGATGGGGCACTCCCTGCAACGAGTCTCAGCCTGCCAGTGACAGCTCTCAGGTGGTGGATGGGGTTTTTTAAGAATACCCTCGACATTCGAGCTGTCCTGATTCTCCATGGACTCGAATGAGGGCTCCCGGGAGTGCCTGGTTTCCTCTTTCGTGGGCCAGGGCTCCTCTGCTACGAGAACAGGTGCCTCCAGCTTGCTGAACTCCTGCAACCTGCTCTCACTGTCATCAGCTTCTTTTTCCTCCACCTCGAGGGTCCCCTCTTTCTCATTGAACTCGTAGATGTCCCCCTGAATCCCCGAGTCGTCGTCCCCAGCCCCCACAACACTCGTCACCTTCTGATCCCTCCGGGAGCTCCTAGTCAACCTCCCATTCCCCTTCCCAGCCCTTCCCCTTCCCTTGTCACCCTCCCCACCATTTGTCTCGATGTCAGCAATGAGTTTTCGCTTCCTGGACTTCGTCACACCCCCACGACAACGTTTATTCCTCCTCCTCGACTTGGGAGTCGCCTGCTGGAGCAACTCTGGAGTCTCCTCTGATCTTTTGAGTGTCAGACTCCTGGAGTCCTCCGATTTATTCGAACTCGAGTCCTTTCCCTCCACATTCTCACACCTATCACTGAAATTCCCATCATAATTCTCCCCACTCCCCAGGATACCGTCGACCTCTCGTCGAATTTCCAGACACTTCTCCTCGATTATTCTCGTGCAGTCCTCCTGGACCTCCATCTTTTCCAGACTCTTCTTGGCCGGATGCATCCCATTGAAACCCTTGGAGAATTCGCTCTCGTTCGGTGCAGTCTTGGCAGCATTCAATTCCTCCTCCACAGGACTTACCGTCTGCCCCTCCTGTCCAAAACTCGACTTCCTCGGTGTTTCCCCGTGAGCCGGTGATTTCCGGTGCTCGATGTCCCTCGAGTCCCCACAGGACTGCATCGACTTTCGCCTCTTACTCAATCCATTTAGAGACACTGTAGCTGGTGCCCTCCAGGTCGACTCCTCCAACTCCTTCTCGACGATCAGATCCGTCACCTCACTCTTCGAATTCATTGAATCCATATCATCGAAATCCGGACGTTCCAGCACCGAGCAGCTTCGAGGAATTTTCCCATCGATCCTGGAGTCCCCAGGATTCTCCTTGGACTCATCACTGAACCTGAGATTTATCCTGTCGTAGTCGCTCTTGTGATGACTGACATCGGTGTCACGATTATTATCGGCCAGTGGAGCTGGACGCTCATCGACACTGGCACGCGTTCGTTTCGTCTCTGTTCTCTTCTGGAGTCTCGAGGCCCTGAGGCTCTGATTTTTAACGCCACCAGTGTTGTTATTGGCCTCGGGCTTAGGTTTGTTCCTGAGACTTCTCGTGACACCCATGGGAGTCTGAGCTCTAGGTGCTGAGCTGTCATCCAGGGGTTGCTGCTGGGCTATATCTGAGAAACGACAGCCCTGGGCTATCAACAGCTCAGCATCATACTTCGTCAGTCCCTTACGACGTAGCTCCTTCATGCTGAGGGATTGAGGTGCCACTGCATTACCCAGAACAGCATTTCTCTCCGTCAGTGCGCTGTCCACCTGTTTGTTGGAGCTTGGGGGCTGCTGACGATGTTTCGTTCTGTTTATTCTGTTGTCAGTCTCTCGTAGACGATAACCCGTTGACAGCTCGTCCCCTGGTTTCTGACTGGCAAATGCCCCTGTGCCTCTCCTCTCGCACGTCTCACACTCGCAGAAGCAATTGCCATCCCCGAAGAAATCCTCACCGTAGAAACACGTTATCTCCTCACCCACCTCAATATCCCTGAGAACTTTGACACATGCTGTATCACGTCCTGTTGCCACGAATTTACAATTGGCACGACAATCGTGATTGATGTAAGCAGCTGGACCCAGCCACAGCTGTGCACAGTTCTTTCTACAGCTGAACATAACGGAAAAATCATTTTTACCAGGATGCAACAGCGCCGCCTCCTCTTTCTCACTGAGCTCAGCGATGCAACCAACGAGACAAGGTATTTTATCGTGCTTCAACCATTTGCGTGTGGCACAAATTTTGGCGCCCTTCTGGCCCTCAAGTGAGTACCTGTAGCAAGGCTCTATCGCAAAACCAGAGTCCTTGTCGAATACACGGAGATAACGATAGACGTGACCTTGTAAATTTATTTGCTGCTGTTTCGATTTTGTGTGTGGTAGTCTCGCACCCCAGTCCCCACCCATCAACTTTTTGTACGTTTTCTCGTAATTCTGGGTCTGAATGAAGTCCGTTATTATCTTTCGGAGCTCGTCCTTGTTCGCCTTCAACGGTCGATACCTGTAACATATTTTGTATTTGTTGGAACTGAATGGCGAGAGGAGACTTTTGATAATTCTAAACATTTTTTTAATCGACGGAACATGTCTTGGTTTATTTTCTTTGCGTGGAGAAGCAATTGCGACATGATTCTTTTATATTTAAAATGAGTTAATCAAAATGAGATGTACAGGTTCACCGAATCAATTGAGAAGATTGAAATACCTAATGTTCATTTTGTGAGTGACAAATCCGAGGTACGGATCGAGCACGAGTGAAGTGGCAAGATCATCATTGTCACACAATTCCTTGGGCGTCATACCACCACCGGCATTACCGTTTGGCTGCATCTTGTTCCCCACCATGCCACCGAGTCTACGCTCGTGCTTCCTCACTGTCGTTGCCGACCCCTGAACTGAAAGACTATCCACCACCATTCTGCAACCCTTACACTCACTGGAAAAACACAATTCGATAATTCAAAAACAACAGATAAAACTCAATCAACGAAAATTCCCTTGATTTTCGTTTAAATAATTTATTCAAAAAAACCACTACGAGCCAGATATCAATAAACCATTGAATCAGTCTCGTGCCAAGTTTTCAAAACCCCGACGAGTCCCCGCAATCCCCTGCCAACCTGACGCCTCAAATGTCCCATCACAAAATTAAATTAACAACAAACAGACCCAACAGACCCGATAAATCAACAATGCGCTCCAAGTCCCCAATAAAAAAATCCGATGAACCCAAATTCACTCCCGTCATTCTCCTCAAACAAACTCATCACCTCTCCCCCATCTCCATCCAATTATCCAACTAATTAAAATCCCCGATGAGCAACACAGGGAGAAGCGTTGAATTGTTGGGAAGAAAGAAAAAAGAACAAACGGCAGTTCGAGACTCGATGAGAACAATCACGCCACAACGATTAGGTGAAAATATTCCAAGAGTCCCTCGACATCGTCACCCAGGAGTCAATATCCCCGACGACGATGTGTTTCCTCTTGACGATTAAAAAAAAAGCCTCAATTGACAATTTGACACGAAAGCCTGTCGACCATGCCCCGAAATGCTAATGGCCGCTGACGGAGCACTATCCCCCATACAAATCCATAAAACCCGTATTAATCACCGATAGTACATCGACTCGTCCCCAACACCACTTGATAATTATCACAATTACTCAGGGAATAATAAACTCACCGTAAAGTGCTGCTCTTCAGAGAGGAGCTCCCGCATTTCGTGCTTTATTCATCGACTTTTTCGGGTCGCGAAGGGGACGCCTTCCGACCTATCATGGCAGATTGTTCGAGACACGCACACTCCCCAGATATCGAGAGTCAAATGTCCCGACAAATGTTGTCACCAGATAATCCAGAAAAATTCACGATATCCTTCACAACTCATCCAATTGACACCTGATTATCGATCACACTCTTTTTTTATTAGTGGCTAACGTACTATCACTGGTGAGGAACTACCACAAGATCGCGTATATACGTCATGTTCCTGTGGCTCACCGAGAACATCCTAGGGATTTTATAACCAGGATATTTATTTTTTTACATTTTGTTCATCCTGGGGGAAGTCCTCCAGGTGAGTTTCCAGCGGGATTTGGTTGACTGGGATATCGGGGGGCCTTGCTTTTTACGGGCCATTCGGGGGCTGTTCCAGGGGTTGAGGACTTATTCCAGATCTTTGGTGATTTTACGGGGCTTCTCACATCTGGGGAGTTTAACCCTTTACCAGCTGATGGGGCACACCTGCGTCGTCATGACAACCGTTGCTACGGTTGCCCAGCAACTGATGGTTAGCGTCAAAATGGACGCCTTTCATTTTAATTCATGTTCAATAACAGGAGATTTCACTTATCGCATTTTACTATAAGACTGACCTGATATGAATAATCAGTTTATCAATTTTTCAAACTGAAACAATAGATATTTAATATTTGTATTTAAATCCCTCGTAAGTCGATAATTTATATCGAATAACTCGCGTGATCTAGTAATAGTGGAAATGCCCTGGAATAGCGGCGATAAATCGCGGATATTTGAGTGAAAAAATGATTTCGAGCGGATTTCTTCGATCAGCTGTGGACTACGTTAATCGAAGGGACGCGCACGCGCCCTCCACGTGACCATGAAGACACGCGCTGGAGGTCACTGCGCACGCGTAGAAACGATTTCTCCCACACGTGCGTACAGTCCTGTCAAAAAAGTGTCAGTATTTATTTTCAATTTCATTGTCATTCAATTGCTGCTCATTTCCCTGTGATAACATGATATTACGCATCTCCCACTACTCCAGGCAGAGAGTGAAACGTTTCGGTTAGAAGTTTTTATTCATCTGTACTTGTGATAAGAAATGGAGGGTCTGATAATAAATAAATAATCACTCCCATGAAGTGAAAACTCAGATCATGAGTATAACATGGAGAGAATACACCTCGTGACAAAAATTTAAGTTATCATTTTGAAATATTGACGAACTTCACAAAATTCAATTCAAAATTCAATTCAAAAATCAAATAATAATTATTATCATTATCACAATAATTGCATGAATATTTTAAAAATCCTTGGGGACGGTAGAATAATTCTCTCTAATTGAAACACCTGTGCTGTCATTTATTGAATATTCCCGCACTCATAGAGTACTTCAGCGCTGCATGGGAAAACGAACTCATTACGTGAATTATAAATATATAGATAACTCAAAAATTGTACTGGACAGTATAGTCCCACCGGCCTGACAGAAAACACGTGTACTTCCTGGGAATTGATTCCGATTCATTCAGAGCTTCTCCAGGATTGTCATCATGGCCATGGAGGCCGTGCAAAACCCCACTGACAAGATTAAACACTTGAAACTGGGAATCATTGACTTTGTGGCTGGCTCTCTTGGTAAATATTTATTGCATCATTATGTGGTGTGATCGAGAAATTTGGAAATGATTTTGTGCTTTTTTTCGTTGTATTATATATCAATTGAATATTTAAATGTTAAGATGCGATTTGAGATATTTACACTCAACGATTGTAGAAATTCGAGTGATAATTTAATTATTGAATTGATTGTTTAAATAAATTACCACATTGGGACGAATTGTAGAAATGAAAAACTTCATTTTGTAAATAACATAGCCTCTGGGTTATGGAATTGGAAGTGGAATTCCATACCAATTCCTATTTATCGGTTTATCAGGTCAGAATATTTTTCGTGTTATCTTGACAAGAATAGAAACTCCAAGTATCAATTACGAGATATCGTAATCTTATTTTTATTATGGATTAATAGTACATTGGAGTACAGGAGTAGAAACTTTGTTTTCATTAAATGATCATCAGTATCTCATCGTAATGGACTTGTTGTTTTCTTCAGGGGGTATTGCACTGGTTTATGTCGGTCAACCACTGGACACAGTCAAAGTCAAGATGCAGACATTCCCTGATTTATACAAAGGCATGACAGATTGTTTTCTCAAGACCTTCAGACAGGATGGAATTGCCAGGGGTCTGTTCGCCGGTACTGCACCCGCACTCGTAGCCAATGTCGCCGAAAATTCTGTCCTTTTCGCGGCTTATGGAACGTGTCAAAAAATCATAGCAAATTTGTCAGGTAAATTCCAAGAAATTTCACTGACACCGGTTAAAATTATGAGCTCATTATTCTCCAGGGAAACAGAAAGTCGAGGAGTTGAATGCCTTTGGTAATGCCAGTGCTGGATTTTTCGCTGCATTTTTTTCGTCGTTAACTCTATGTCCTACAGAACTCATAAAATGTCGACTGCAGGCGATGAGAGAAGTTCAGTCGCAACAACTCAAGCTCGGCATGAAAGTTGTGAGTCATTCAATATTTCCCTCACCAAAATCATTGACGGGTGAAATGTTAGAGGACTTTTTCGAAGATAATTAAATTTCGAAAAAAAACTTTTCATATTTTCTCCTCAAAACGGTAGTTTTTTTTTGGAAAAATCCTCCGTTAATGACGGTTTAAAATTTTTCTACTTATCGCTCAGAAACGAATAGGCCCTTGGACCCTGACGAAGGACATAGTTCATCAGAATGGATTCAGTGCGCTCTTCAGGGGATTGTCCTCGACTATAGCTCGAGAAATGCCAGGGTATTTCTTCTTCTTCGGTGGTTACGAACTGACGAAGCAACTCCTGGCAAAACCAGGACAGAGCACAGAGGACATTGGATGGCAAAAGACGATGATTGCTGGTGGAGTCGGAGGGAGTCTCCTCTGGCTAGTGATTTTCCCTGCTGATGTTGTAAAAAGTCGTATACAGGTGCTCCACTGGTTCTAATAAATAGATATTAACTGGAAATCCCTTGCGAAGTCTCCCCTCGCGTTTTACGCAATTAAAATCTGTATTTATTATTCTCTTCATTTTTTCAGGTACAAAGTTTAACAGATCCAGCACTAGTCATCATGAAGGAGATTGCGAGAAAGGAGGGAATTGGTGCTCTCTACAATGGCTTGAAGCCAACACTCATCAGGACCTTTCCAGCCACTGCCACTCTCTGCGTGACGTACGAGTACTCCAGAAAGTACATGCAGTCACTCTTAGGGCTCTGATCCAGGTGAAAAATTAGTTGTAATTCTCAGCTGTCGGTATTTAGCAATTTTTTATTGCTGGCGCGTATTTTTTATGAAGAGTAATCCTGAAACATTCTTTTGGAGTTTTTTCTACTGCCAGGATCCCTTGAACTCGAGAATAAAAAATACATGCCGATATTTCATATCTTATTTCGTCACTTTATTCAATAAGAAAATTTTTATATTTGTACCGATCCAGTTTAAGGGGAGACAGGCTTTTTATTGTTTATAGTTTTTGTTATTACATTTCGAAGATAATCCGATCGTTCTGCTTCCTTCAATTTCGTCCACGTTGGCAGCACGATCTGAAATTGTTGAGGAAAAATAATTCATTAATAATTGAACGGAAGTGAATAAAAAAATATATTTGAGCTGCTGTATTGATAATAAAACAAGTGGAAATTATGTGGGCAAGATTTACCGTTATTGGAGTGTATCCGATCCTCGTCAGTTGCCTCAATTTGGTTTCGACAGAGCCACTCAATTCTGCTGTACCCCTGAAGAGGTGATTGTGAGTTGCCAGGACAACAACAAACCACCGAAGGCTCGCCGTTTCTGGTGCGAATTTCACTTGGAACGTGGGGCACTTTTTTAGCATTGGCTCCGAGGGAATGAAATTGTTGTCATTGTCCACGCAGAAGATCAAATCTGCTCTCTGGAATTGGGGGAGCACTTGGTCGATGAACAAGTTCTTCTCTCCTACCATTTCCTGGAAATCAGAATTTCAGATAATTATATTTTTATTACCTGTGAATAATTGTTTAATACGGATTATTCCCCTGTATTTTTTTGGGTACTACCTTCAGATAATGCACCACTTCGAAGAGGAATTTGTGGTACGTTTGAACTCTGTCGGATGGATCTTCTCTCCATACAACATCAGACGCATATCTCTGCAATTGAAAAACTATTAAATGAATTAAGTAAAAGAAAAAAGTAAAATTCTAAACAAAGATATATACCCTAGCCAGGAAGTTGTAAATTCTCTCAGGTAGAAATGGTCCTTTATATTCAGGCACTTCGATCTTGAGTCCGGACTCCAGAGTCAAGTACTCCCTTCCAACTTTGAATGCATTATTTTTGTATATTTGTTTGATATATTCATGGTTCATGATCCTTCCTATAATGTCTAGGGGATAAATATTCACGTGGGAGAGGTACATCAGCGAGCAGGCGTACGTCACCGCGAATTTCTGGCGCTCCGTGGTGCGCACAGGGTTCCTCAACTCCTTGAGGGCTAATTCGTACAGAGGAAATTCCTTGGGATAGTTAAAAATCATAAGACAGAACAGGAGCCTCTCGATGTCCTTCAGTCTTGCATCTGACAGACCCTTCTCTACTAATTTATTCATTATGGCATCCATGGCCTCTTTTTCAAAGACTAAACTCGTTGCACCAGTGTGGGCAGCATGAACGAGACTAGCTGTCGAAATATCGTCAATCCTGAGTCGAAACCGACGGAGAAGAGTCCTCAATATTTCTCTGTCCCTGAGGTGTACGCTGTGCCTATAAAATATAAATTTTTAAATAATGAGATATTTTCTTGTAAAATTAAATTTTGTACATTAATCAAATGAAATGAAAACGCATTATTAATGAATTATTGAGTAAAAAAAAATACCTAGCCATTTTCATAACAGCAGAGATAAAAATCTCGTCAAGATTATTCATGTTATCCACGCATTTCTGGACGATATGACCAGAGAGTGCTGGATTTCTAATGGAAGTTTCGGTCTTGAAGAATCCCATAGCAATGACAGCGAGTTCCTCAGCATTGAATTCCTCGACAATGGCCTCCAAACGATACTCGAGCTCATACATATTGATGTAGGGTTTCCTCCCAATACTGAGGAGGTACATGTAATGTGGGTAATTATCGGAGGACATCTTCGTGGGCTTGAGCCCTAGTTTCTTCATAGCGAAACCAATGAATTTAGACTGCCTGGCTCTCCTCAGATGATAGAAGAGGTCACAGGTCATGAGGAGGTCATCGGCGTCCCAGTCGATGCCTCTCCTGTAACACTCATCATCGAGGGCATCCTCCAGGGCAGTCAGTGCCCTGAGCCTCGTTTTAATTTCCATGGGGTACCACATCTCCAGGTACCTAAGAAGGAGCCAGATCTGATCTGTCAGGAGGTCCTTACATACCAGTTGCAGCCTCTCCAGTATTTTTATATGTCTGTCTGTGAATTTTTTATTCTTCGATCGTGCGTCGTACGAGAGGATCCTGAAGTTCTCCATGAGCTTCGACACCTCTGGAGTCTCTGTCCACTCTCTCTGGAGGATATTCTCGATGGTCTCCTCAGAGAACTCCTCATCGGGAATTATTTTCCGGATTATTGTCTTCTTGTATCTGTCACTCTGGAGAACTTCGTATGCACGACGATTTTCAGTCATCCTGATTGGTCTATTGCTTCCATCGTGGCTGCAATCCTCATCCGATGGATCATCGGGGATTGCTGATGCCTGTGGTACCTGCGAGAGCTTAGAGTAACCCTTGATTTTCTGAGTGGAGAAGCATGAGCTCTTCGGGGAGGGAGAACTCGACTTCCTGGGGGTGACTATTGAGAAATTCAGGTTAGGTTCTACATAATCGCGTGATGATCTTAATAGAGATGATTGATCACGAATTTTTAGGAGCATTCGCACCCTCCGGGAGAACATCCTACGGTTTTAGGGAGGACTAAAGGGTTTTTGTAAAGTGTCAACGTGATTTCACTGCAGACAATCGGGATTTTACATCACTGGACTATTCCCGAAGACGGCAGGTTGGATTCGGATGATTTGCATTGATGAAACCAGAGAGGATTGACTAAAGTAGAGGCTCAGTTCTGGGGGTTTGAGTGAACCCCAACGGCATCGTAGTACTGCACCCCAAGAGAGGGAGGGCGCAACACGCAATGTTCGGGTGTCCATTAAGTCGACGGGGTGAATTTTATTTTCTGCGGCATGAATGCTTTTTGTTTTTTATTCGTTTGACCGAAATCTAGCCGACTGTAGAACGAGCGGAAGGGGGAAGCCACATCTTGTGGAATTTCAAATAGAAAAATAATTCAATGTGTTGAACATATACTACTAATAAAATTATTTTTTCATAATTAGCGCGTTGTCTAGTCGGCAGCGTGCTCGCCTGTCACGCGGGCGGCTAGGGTTCGCTCCTAGCGCCATTCATTTTTTTTTTTCAAAATAATTCCAATTTGATCTTTTTTTAATGGCTAATCAATCGAAAGATTGTTTAAAAACTGAATTTTTGAAAATCGAGAAGATATTCAGTGAAATTAACAATTTTGAAATTTTTTTAAAAAATTCCTTTTCAAAATATATACCCCTAATGAAAT